ACCATGGGATCAAAGCTGTAATTCCCCATCTTCCCAGCAGACACCTCACGGAGAACGTTATGCTCGGTGGACATTCTGAAGGCAGGTCTATTAGTATTCATGTTCAGGTATGGAGGGGGTTCCACATTTGAGGGCTATCTGAAACAAAAGCTGCTGGTCCCAGGGCCGAGGCACAGAGCGCTAATCCTGGTGTTTTGATGCAGGGCCTGTGTTTGTGTGGACTCCTCGACAGGCTGATGGAAAGCAGATGTGGGCAGGCAGGCGGGTGGGCGTTGTGCCAGAGCAGCTGGGAGAAATTAAAAACAACAGCATTCCTGGAGACTGGGGGGAATTACAGCGCAAGAGAGAGAATTTGCAGCAGAAATGAGAGCCAGTCCTGAGAGAGAGGAAGAGATCATCTCTCCAGAGGCTCGTACGTGTCTGGGTTAGTTCACTGTGTCAGTACGTCCGTGTGACTGTGTGAACACAGGACACAGTCTTTGAGAATGAGCAAATGTTTACCAAACATGTGACAGCTCATTAAGGATGGCATTTACCTTGTTAGGACTTCGTGAAACGATACTTTTTCAAAATAGACCTGACCAATGAACAGCTATTGAAATGTTATTGCATGCTGTTGTGTGTACAAATGTACAAAGTGTCTCTTCACAAAAAAAAAGAAATACATTGCTTTTATAAAATCATAGTGCAAAGGATTTTGATTTTTTAAAGCCATTTTGAGACGTAATTGGCAGCCTGCCATTATAAATTTGTATGCTGCTTACTTTTATTAAGTATTAAGTATTCCGAGATGTGTACAAGAACATGGACTGAATTTAATGATAACAGAACAGCAGCTTTAAGATTTGAACAACAAGTGGGCTTTCCTTAAGGGCATTCCTTAAGAAGCACAGATCTATTTTTTCACACTGGGGTGAAAGAAAGGGTTGTTTCTGACTGACACCCGGTACCAAAGTCTAGAAAGTTTGCTGTACGCTGGAAAATTGCAAGTTTAGATTTGGGAAAGGGGGCAGGGAGTGGGGAGCATGGACAAATGAAGTCACCATGGTGCAGAATCCATTTTCAGATTTCAGTTTCCTAATGAGATTACTAGGAACACATCCTTCAAGAGTGCAAGCAGCATATTGTGGTCAGATGTGGCTTGGTTAATTTGACAGCTATTAAAGACATGGGTGTTCGGCACACGGGATCAGCGAGTGAGATCCCAGGCTTGGGAAAGTGTCTCAGCTGTGCATAATACTTCTCAGCCCTTATCATGCTGTCCTTCAGTGCAATGGGAGCACAGATGGCCACAGATGGTGTCGTACAGCACATACTTTCTAATGTATTAAGGCGAAATCCAGCACTGTGTCCTGCCCTGTCCTTTAGCTGCTCAGATTAAGCAGCTGTCTGTAATCCCAGCCCAGGCACAGGCAGGAGCCACACAGAGTTCAGTCCCCGTCTTTCCACCAGGCCACTCCAAACCAGGAGGGAGACCCCCAAAAAACGCAGATTTCAGAGTGGCTGCGAGACAGGGTGGAATATATCAAAAGCGAATAAAAGGCTGCATGTGAAGTGTTTTGCGCCAGAGCTCAGTGCTGGACAAATGCATAATGCTCACTGCTAGTAAATGTGCAGAAATGCAAAGCGTATTTTTTACGTGTTTTGTCCCCAAACTAAAAGAACGCTTTTGAAAACGTATGGCATCGTGAAACAATGTGGTATTGTATAAGGATTTCGTATTTAAAATTACTGACTTGGTTAGATGTTTGTACCTTTTATTTCTTTAAAAAAAAACTAATCTGAGAGCAAATTAAAAAGATGTTTCAAATTACGAGCATTCTTTCCTAAAGATAATGGTCTTAGTCTCATTGAACTAAATCAGATTCAGCAATGTTCAATTAAGCATGGTATTAGATGCATAGAAAAGTACAAGAAATTACAGAAAAAAGGCTAGAATGTAGAGCTATCCTCTTTTTAAACAAATGAGTTAATCAACTTTGGAAGAACATAGCTCTCCCTTTGCTGAATTTGCAATGAGCTTGCACACATTTCTCGTCTATTTCAATTAAATGTTTTAATTAAAATGAGAGTTCCTAAACTTGAATGCCATTTGACCCAGTGGCACATAAGATAACCCTGCATGTCCTCTACACAACCAGCAAACAGACATGACATGAGAAAGGAGAGTACTGGGCCACAGTTGGCCACAGAGTAGATATAGAACATAGCTTGCGAGTTCAAGAGTATTAGGATAAGCAGCTATTTTTGTAAGCATGGTATTAGGACTAACAACTTGTTATGCTTATTGGTAGAAGCATTTTGTTTTCAAGCGCTAAGAAAAGAAACATGTTTACTGTATTTTAAATGGTTCTTGGGCTTTTATTGTTAAAAAAAAGCCATTTAACTTATCTGGATTTTTAAAATAAAAAATACCCTTGAAAACACAAAAACCTGCAAATTGCTTCAAACACGAATGCAATCACCCATTCATATACAATACCTACATAACAAATCCACAACGCATCCAAGTACAAACAAATGTATTTAATCACAAACAAGCAGCTGTCAGTAAATAATTTGGAACATATCACTACAGGCTCGAACAGTGCTTTTCTATGATACACCTAAGATTCACTAAACAAAGCAAAAACACAACCAAGCTTCTTAACAAACAGGCAGTGAAGATTGTGCCTTGATGAACGTGGGTAATGAATAAACCACTAAGTGGGCACTTTCTTTACAATTTTCTGAATATTAAATAGGAATTGTGGATCACAAGGCCATACTGACAGTTTCATAGTAACTATCAAAAAGCTTACTGAACGACAGAAATAGGGGTGTTAAAGAAATAGCGAGCCCAGTGAAATTTTGAAACAGACTCCTCATCAAAGGAGTGCAGTGTATCTATTCTCACACTGAGCTTGGGTCCCTGTTTCACAGACGGCTTCTGTGCAGATCTGCACCCCAGCTCTTGGGGGTCTACAGAGAGGATCGGCCATCAGTCTGAGCAGGCTGGTGCTCTCCTCATAGCCCAGTGCTTGCCTCACACCCTGAGCTTGTTAACCTTTCCCTCTCTGGACACTGCTGCAGCTGCTGCTCCTCTAGGTCAGAGACCAATTACCGGCCTATTAGTGGCTTGGCAGAAACACTGTACACAGTTATTTTCATCCTCCACTGTGGAGCGCTACCAGCCTGAGACTCAGAGCTCGGACTGGTCACAGAAATGCAGGAATAAAGATTTTAAAAGACCAATCATTTTCTATAGTGCTGAACGTGCAGTAGGAGAAAACATCGACTGCAGCCGTGCACAGATCGCAAGGAATTTAACATGCCAAGATGGACTTTGAGTGTCTGTGCGTTTTAAAGCAAGATTTATCATGACTGAGTTATGCAGTTTACAGGTTAACTGCAGATGGGGTTGAAGATGCCCCCTGGGTTTTGCTATGCAGTGAGTACCAGCTGGGAGCCGGAGTGTGTTGATTAGCTGATTTGTGTAATTGATTCGGCTGAGCCTCCCCCCCCCCATCCACACGCATGCAGCCTTGTGTCAACGAAGAGAGATTGACTCTTCCAGCAAGGTCGCACACACTGTAAGCCTATCTCCAGTGCCCCTGTGAAACCCATCACACGCCTCTGCTCGTGTTTGTGTAGGTACTTTGAGCCTAGGGATCTCCTTCCACATTCATTTCCCCTGTCGGGGTCACTCGGCCTCTCACTGCTTCTACTTGAACATCACAAGTCTGGGACAGAGCAGCAGGTCCCTGCCGTATCGGTCACCGTTGTTTTCAAGCCACATTTCCCTCATTTTTGCCGAACCTCTGTACCCGAGTTGCGAACCAGCATACGCTCACAGAAGCACAAGAGGGATCTACACTGAATGACTTTGATGGAGAGGTCTCGTGGCATTCTCCCCCTGCTTCATTTCTTGGAGAATCCTAGAAACGACTTTGACAAGTTTAACTGACTGTATACACTGCAGAGCCACAGAAGATATTACATGTTTAAAATGGCTTTTTAGGGCCATGGATGAAAACTGTCCAGATTTCTGCATTTCTAAAATGCAGACAGACGCAGACCTCCCGTCTCTCCTTCGCTGGACACACAGCCCTTGTGATCCTGGAAAGGCAATGCTTGCCGACAGCGGCCTGGAAAGCTTGCCTTGTTTGGTCCCTGCTAGAGGCCGGCGTGGTTCATGGAAGTGGCCCTCCTGATGGACAGTGGCAGATACAGCTGCACTTGTCACTGGCCATCAAGATTCTGTCTGGGGCTGGAGGGGGGGGGGGCTCTGGGGAGCAGGAGGTTTGCTATCAGCAGCTGAGGAAGAGAGCAGGTGTTATAGGATGTTTCCAAGAACACAGATTTCTATTCACCTACAGCTCAGTGTATTCCACCTAAGTCCCTCCATCGCTCCCCTCTCACTCCTCTGCTCCTTCTTTATAGACCCCTCAGCTTCTGAGTGTCTCATACATCACTATTACAGATCCCAGCTCTCTGGTCGGTTCGGATTAAAATAAATTACTGCAGTAAGCAAACAGATAACACTTCTTTTTAAGAGTGTGCAGTCTACAAAATATGGCTTTTACAGTGCTGTGTACCAGTGAGAAGATATTACATCTAATATGACACAAGATGGTTTATAACAACAGTGAGTTACATCGCCAAGCGTGCAGCAACTGCAGATCAGACAAATCAACAGCCTAACAGACAAAACAGCCTAACATCAACAAATACCGAGCAGGCCTTCTAAATCATACCACATGGGATATTGATTTAAGGATATATTTCAGACCTGATGGTGTTCTAATCAAATCTGTACAGAACACTACAGAAGTATAAATGTTTAATGACAACATCCCAGGGCAACCATTGAAAAGATGAGCAGGTTAAATCCCACAGTGAACCCGGTCCTTTGTGCAGAGTGTCAAATTCAGATGTGAATTACAGAGGTTGTGCAGTGCTTTGGTTTGGTTTGGTTTGCCTGCATCACATGTCTGCTGCCTATGCATGTCTTGCTGCAGGTAGCACAGAAAAGAAGGTTGGAACGATGCCAGATTCACCTGCTGATGTCAAAACCCAGCCCAGATCAACTCCGCCCACCATGCCGCCGCCGCCCCCCGCTGTCACCCAGGCAGCCAATCGCAACGCGTCCTTCACACCCACCACGAGTAAGTCAGTCCCAAATCAACAAACAGACAATGAGAAAGTGTTCAAACTCCTCATACGTACTGGAACGTACTGTTTCAGGAGATTCTGGTTAGTAATAGTACACGCCATTTTCATTGTTTCATTGGTTGTTGTTATGAGGAAGATTCTAGAAACCCCTTTATTACTTGTCTTAATAACACATTTCCAAGAAGTGTCCTGTGCCTGGTTCTTTGTTAGATACGCAGTGCAAAATCAATATGCAAACTGGAATACTAATCCATGAAGTTGGCTTCTAATACACAAGAGTCAATAATAACACCTTCTGGAGAGTGTTCCTTTAATCTGATTTTCATTGTCTTCTGTTACAGGTGCAGCCCGTCAGCTGCTTGTCTGAGAGAAAGTTATGGGATTAGTTTTGGGGCAGCTCCTTCTGAAGAAGGAAAGCTGGAACAGACAAACAAAGCTGTAATTTTTCACAGCGCTCTTAAGCTTGGCTTGTAAAAAAATGCTGTTTGCAAAAAGGGCAACAATGAAGCAAGATAACACACGTTCTATGGGCTCCAACCCTGTGCCAAACGCAGGGGCGGACCACCAATAGCATGTAGGAGTGCGAGGCGTGTATTGCTGTGAGTGTCAGTATGAGACAGTCTCGGTCCAGGCTGTTTGTTTACCTAGAGATGAAGAGGGCACCACTGTGCTCTTGAGGGCTCCAGACTAGTTTCTTCCCTATATAGCAATGACCGTCCGCGTTGTTTCACCTGTTGTCTCGGTCACCCATACAGCGTGCTCTGCACTCTATAACCAGAACACAAGTGGCCTGTCACATGGTGAAGCACACATGTGGAGGAGCTCATACTTATATTCATGTACACGGATTAAGTCAGAGGGGAACGCAAAAACAAATGTGCAATGAAGCATGTATTTAACCTACATTACTCAGCGGTCACATTTTTGCTTTGAAGGAAACTAACAATATGCCGTTTTATCGGAATTGACACTGAAAAACCATGTTGATGAGATTAACATGCGACTCTAAACTAAAAAGATAAATAATATAGTTCTGTACAATTCATATTTTGAGCACCAGTACTCTATGAGCCATCTTACGACAGTGTTTATAGGTCTCTTCACCAGTGTACAGGAACAGCAAGTTTTAGGTAGATTTTAAGCCTGTGGATCCAGAAGAACAGCCTTTATTGTGGATGTTTGTGTTAGAATGCACTGGCAGGGTGATGGAAGGAGGGCACTGAACCTGAAAGCTGCAAATCGACTTTCAGCTGGCAGACATGTGCAGAGTTTAACTTAGCAACACACCTGCTATTGGAATAAAAGTAACACAGGCCACAAACCTATTTTTGGCACCTCTTTAACAAGTTCCTCTTATAGTTCTGTTCTACTGAGTGAGTGAGAGACACAGAGGAACAGACTCAAGAGGGGGAGGGGAAGAGTCAGCTGCTTCCACTTTGAAAAACAGCTGAAGTAAATGCACAGAGAAACCTCGGCCAAAGTGGAATGAGCCTCAGTAGAGCCACAAGGGCACTAAGGAACAATATGTGCAGACCCGTATATATGCAAAAGGCATTATTTTAATCAACAAATGTGGATATTCTTCAGCTCAGAACCAACATATTATCAGAAAAAAAAGATACGCTTGTACTTCCTCACAATTCATCGATGCCTCCGGGCTTAAATCAGACTGCTGCTGGCCATGTGACACTGGGTTTCAGGATGCACAGCACAAAGAGGTGGAAACAGAAGATCTCGGCGAGCGGAGGCCGTGTTGTCTGTGGAGTGTCTGAAAGTGACCTGCTGTCTCTCCCCTCAGTGTTGAACGGGAGCAGCCACTCGCCTACAGCGCTTAACGGCGCCCCCTCCACGCCCAATGGCTTCAGTAACGGCCCCGCCATGTCCTCCACCGCCTCCTTGTCAAACCAGCAGCTCCCGCCTGCCTGCGGAGCCCGGCAGCTCTGCAAGCTGAAGCGCTTCCTCACCACCCTGCAGCAGTTTGGCAACGACATCTCGCCAGAGATTGGGGAGCGTGTGCGCAGCCTGGTGCTGGGCCTCGTGGTGAGTAACCCCGGCTGTCTCTGCGTCCGCCCGGACACTTCCACAGGCTGGAACCCGGGAGTGCATGGATTCTACCGATGAAAGTGCTGTGCAAATATGAAGTGAACATCCTTCTGTGACCCGAGTTCGTTCCAGCTGTCAGATGCTTTCGCTTACAAGCCCATACTGTACATTTACCTTGTGATTCTTTTCTTCACCATCCCTCAATATCACGTAACGTGCACGCTCGTTTTGTGAATGTATTGGTTTGTTAATATGGCTTGGCTGGAGTGGTTCTCAACCTGGAGAAACGCTTATCTCTTCCCTTGTAGAATTCCACTCTAACTATTGAGGAGTTTCACGCCAAGCTCCAGGAGGCCACCAACTTCCCTCTGCGGCCTTTTGTGATTCCATTTCTCAAGGTAAGGACTCCCAGACACACACCCACAGGACTGCAGCATGCACAGCTGTCCAGTGAACTCTGGACAAGCACGCAGCACCGAATCCCCTTGTGTAAAAACAGCCTTTGCCGTAAGACAAAGTTATATTCAGGAATGTGACAGGAAGCTGAGCACTAAGGTGCATATCACAGTTTTTTATTTATTGCTTTTTAGCAATGCCAGGCATTTTAGCTAAATGTTGTAAGTGCACTATGGGCTCACCCACCATAAATAAGCATTTAAATGAATATATGAAAATGGCAAAAAACGTAACCTCTGTACTGGCAACACATTAAGCCTCATCACCCTTTTCACAGGTCACGAGTTACTAGGAATAACGCAAACAGATAAACACGCGTCCCCGATCTGCGCTCCGTCTGCAAGCGAAATGACGAGCTGTGGTCCATATGGCAATCATTTGCAATTCATTAAAATTGGCACACTTGTGTTTACTCTAAATCTGGCTGTGCGCAATCTTAGGGGAAGCTCAGCCGGAAAAGAAGATTTTGTGACAGATGTTGGCGGCCCACTCAGACCAAGGGCTTTTTGCGGTGCTGATGTATATCTGCTGATCCCTGGCCCACAGTCACAATCGGCAGCCCCCAACCCAGAGTGTCAACAGTTCCTTATCAGCAAGAACATCTGCTTGGGTCTTTTTTTGTCTCTGCTTAACCCTTCAAGTGCGGCGTCCGAATATACTAAACTGCTCTTAAACGCAGAGCGATTAATTAAATGTTTACAACACATTTGAAACAGAACACGAGGTGGAGAATTGAGAAGTCTCAGCAGTGACTGTTTTTCCTGCTGAACAGATGTGGCGCGTCGCTCTCCCCCAAACACACACCCACGCTCACAATCTGGGGGTACCCCTTTTGCAAATGAACTCGTTCCGGGAGAGCTCTGTCTCCGAGAGATGTGCAGTTAACACATGGAGTGCTAGGCAAGGCGTTAGGCATTCACAGCTACAAGAGGAGCATATTCAACAACAGATAGAAGCAGCCCGGGAGGCATCCGATGCCTCAAACCCTGCTGCACTGCAGTACACATCTTCTGCACACAATATTCAACTGTCAGCACCAGATCTACACCTTTATGAGAAACCTGTTTTTCTACACAATGAAGAAAAGTTTACACTGGGTCGTCACACACGCAATGGAAAAGCACTATATCGAGGCTTTCTGCTGCTATTTACTTATGATTCCCAATACAACAAAAAAAGTTTAACTTTTTTATAATTGGCTCAAATGCACCCTAGAAAGAAGTTAGGGATTATAACCATTAGATTGAATCACAAGGATAGCTGAAGTGAGCTTTCTGATATCACTTTTCGTCCTTTACTCTGCACTGGGTGCAGGGGTGCTGTTGGGAACTGACAGTGGCCTCAGCCTTATGGCCCGTCCCAGTCTGCTGCTAGCCTGCACTGTTTTTGCCTTTCGGAAACTCGCGGACCTGGCCGGAACCATTCCCCCCGCGGCGAGCTCCCGACCCCGGTTCTCGCTCTGACTGTCCTGTCCCGTCGCTCCGCCCAGGCCAACCTGCCCCTGCTGCAGCGGGAGCTGCTGCACTGCGCCCGGCTGGCCAAGCAGACGCCCGCCCAGTACCTGGCGCAGCACGAGCAGCTGCTGCTGGACGCCAACGCCAGCTCCCCCCTCGACTCCTCCGAGATCCTCCTGGAGATCAACGAGCACGGCAAGAGGAGGACACCAGACAGGTAACCGCTCCCCCCTGGTCAGAGCCATCTTTGATCTTTAGAAAATGTCAAACCTGCCTTTCAACCTGGAGCTCCTCCTATAATAAAACACATAGGTGTACACCTTATTTGTATCAGTGTATTTGTCACGCCCTCTGCAGCCAGAGGGCGCTCCTTCTCTGTCCTGTCCCTAGTTTCCGGTCTGTTGTCCTTCCGGTCCCTCTCTTTCCCTTGGGGTATATATTTCTGGGTCTTGCACTCTGTCCTGGCTCAGCATTGACGTTCGGATGTCCTGAGACCCGCCTAGCACCAGGGCGCCCCACGTCCGCTCCCTGAGGGCATAGGTTTCTATACGGCATTCCTGAACTCTTTGCACTAATGAGCCCGGGCCTTTTTCCCGTCTCGCCGCTACGCATATGGGTCTTTTTCCACTCTCCTGCTCTCCCCACGGTTAGTCCCTTTGGACGTCCGTGACAGGATTCTTCTGAAAGTGAAGAAGGTAGATTTGGCACAGGTAATGATAAAAAGCCATGTTTGTGCCTCTTCTAAATGGTTTTATACTGTACATATACATCTGTGAAGGCAATATCACTGTCAATGGCCTGAATGGGATTAATGTAATTAAATCAACCTACTATATTTCTTTCAAGATGTAAATGCTGTATGGAAAAAAAAAATGTATTTTCTTCTCCCATAAGAGAATCGAGGCAGGCAGAATTATTTCACAATGCAAATGGGAAAAAAATCTCACCAACTGAGACATCAAGCTCAGGACTGCTGCCTCATGCCAAGCACACAGACAAATAGCCTGCCAGTAGTCTGGATGAATTAAAGAGGACTGTTCCAGCTGCTGCAGATGTATTATGGCTCCAGCAATTTGCAAACACCCATCACCCATCTTTGGAATGTTCCCGCTGACATTCAGATCAATGCATTCGCATGTGCTTTTCCAGGCCTTTCTTATCCTCCAAATACTCTTTATTCCAAAAACTAATTGGAATTTCAGACACAGAGAATTGCCGTTCCTCTCTCCCTCACTCTCTGAGTTGCTCTGGAGCTATCCATATGTCAGGGTTGTGTCCAGATGGTTATATACTGAACCCCTGCACTGGGAGACCTGGGGGGGTGAGGGTGTAGGAATGGACAATCCCCCTAAATCCGCACACCTCAGCCTCCAGCCACTGGCTTACTGTGCTGCCACAGGATGTTCCAGCTGTTGCTGAGATTTGTGAGACATGGTGCCGGGACAGAGCCCTGGCAGAGAGATCTCTTTATGACCACAGGCAGAGCACTGTGCGAGAGCGCTCTGCTGCTGAGACTCAGCCAAAGTACTTAAGGCTCTACATTTAGCAAAGCATCATCCTGCTATTTCTCTACAAGTCTCCACTCTGCTATAATTCAGTTCTGAAGTCATTCAAATGCTGACTTCTTGACTTGAATGACTTCTTAGATAATAAATTTGTTAAGTCTTTAGGCAGATAAAATAAATAATGTATCATAGAAAAGAGGTTAATTGTATAGGTTAATGGCATCTTCTGTTTCGTTACATACTGTAAGATTTTTTTTCCTTGCATTAAATGTCTTGTTAAGTGTTGGGATAAAAGCATCTGCTCTGAATATCATGTCAACAGCAGCCTACGCGTTGTCCTGGCTCAGACCGCCCACTCGTCTCTCCCGCAGGACCAAAGAGAATGGTGCCGAGAGAGACCCGCTGCACCCCGAACACGTGGCCAAGCGCCCCTGCACAGTGAGCCCCAGCCAGCGCTACAGCCCCAGCAACGGCCTCCCCCCTCACCCGCCTCCAAACGGGCTTCCCCCGCCCCCCCCCAACGGCCTGCCCCACCCCCCCCCCCCGCCACCCCAGCACTACCGCCTGGAGGACATGGCGCTGGCTCATCACTACCGCGACGCCTACCGCCACTCCGAGCACCGCGAGAGCCGCGACCGCCACCGGCAGACGGGTGAGTGCGCGCGGGACGCCCCGGGGCCCAGCAGGCCCACACGGAGCCGCTCACCCGGACCGGAACCCGAGCGCCCCCCCCCCCGTCCAGGAGGGGCGGGGACAAGGAGCGGGTCCCGGGGCCGTGGGCACTCCGTAGAGAGTACAGGCGCGCAGAAAACCTGCAAGGTCACGAGCGGCCCTGTCAGGCCTGCCAAACAGTTAGCAAGCCGAGTAGTTTCGCACAGCGCAGTCCAGCACGCTCAGGACTGAATGAACAATGCTATGCCTTTGAATGTGCAGCACGCATGGAGCTTACATACGCAGGGAAGGAATCTTCCAAAATTCGTACGGACAACCACGGTCACTCATGGCGTCACAAAGCCAGGGATTGTGTCCCGGCCAGCAGGCAAGTGCATAACTCTCAGAGAGACTATATTAAAACCACGCCACGCAATTAAATATCTAGGACTATGCTAGATGTGACTGTTCAGTTCTTCGGGAATTCTGGGACACGCAAAGGGGCAAGATCACAATGATGTCCGTTATGTTGGACTGCTAAAACAGCGTTTTACTGTGGGATATTGCTGTGGATGTTTTACTTCTCAGAAAGATATGGATAGAGCATACCAACATACTGCAGGACATACCAATATATCCACCCATGTGCACTTAAAGAAAGGCACAAAGATGTTATACTAGGACTTATTACATGTGGCATCTGAATGGTTCTGTATGGGTTTTCTCTCATGGGAATGTATGGAAAAGTGCCAAGAAACTGTCTCCCTGCGGGTTATACAAAGCAGTGCTCCAGTCCAGTCTGAGTGCTTACCAATGAGTGTTTGTATTGCAGCCGTGCATGGGGCTCGTCAGGAAGAAGTCATCGATCACCGCTTGACGGATCGGGAGTGGGCAGAGGAGTGGAAGCACCTTGATAACGTGAGTGTCACCGGAGTACAGCTCCCCCCCACTTCCATTACTCTCCGCATTATCCACAGAACAAGCCCAACTACCCCCACTGAAAATAACAGCCGGCCACAGACATGAGCCTCTGGAGAGCCAACTGAACTCACATGAAGATGAAGCATAGTTCATCAAAGCTCCATCACTGATGTTGGCTTGCAGTGCCTATATAACAAATAGCCCCGGACTAAACAGCAGGGAACCTAAAGCAATCCTGCCAAGGCTGCAGCAAGTGCTGTTAGTCCTTCAGCTATCTTGAATTGCAAATTCGCAAACACCAATACGAGGGCCACAGATGGAACGAAGCCCCCAGTGGAGAGAAGCTCCAGCTGGGCTGAGCAGCTGAGACAAGGACGGCAGTCACGGAGTGAACCAGCTTCCACTGGGCCGCAGCCAGATTAGAAACACTCTCGTGAAAATAAATATAGCTGAGAACGAGGTCACAACCGTCTAGCAGACTGGGGGGTTGCAGTGGTGGGGGAGGGGGCTGAATCACTTAGACTTTTCACATCAGCAGCACAGCTGTCTCACTCCCATTACTGATCTCTTAAATAATACATTCACAGCTACAACTTGGTTACGAAGCAGGAGAAAGGCGAGAGACACGTACAGTCAGACATTCCTATCCACAAATCAATGTCACATGTCAAAAGGACACAGGACAAAAATGGAGGCATATTTATAACTGAGTGTCTTGCAGGAAAGTTTAGTATGATTGTAGCTGCGTCCCAACCTTCTGCTGTGTACAGTAGATCAGGCCCCCTGAGCTACGCTTCCTGTCTGATGTCACTCACAGATGCTTCTCATTTGCCATTTCAAACAAAGGAAGGAGTTCTTCTGTAATGGGATTAGTAGGATGAGGTAAATACATATATTGGAAAACTCCTTCTGAATGAATTAGTCTTAGCTTTATTACTGCTTTGTCTCCCTGTGATCATTGGAAATGAGCTATGAGAAAACTCCCCAGCAAGACAGTGGATCAGGGAATCATGGATGCGTTATATACAAATTCCCCAAAAGCTCCTTTTTCGTAGATTTTGTGGATTGCCCATTCCGTCCTGCATAGCCCTGCCTCCTAGCTGCCCTAAAGGGCAGCGGCCCTGAAACAAGGGGTCACAAGGGCTTTGCCCCCCCCTCCTTCAGTCTCTCCTTCGCCCCGCAGCTGCTGAACTGCATCATGGACATGGTGGAGAAGACCCGGAGGTCTCTGACCGTCCTGCGCCGCTGCCAGGAGGCCGACCGCGAGGAGATGAACCACTGGATCCGCCGCTACAGCGATGCAGAAGATATGAAAAAAGGTGGGAGCCCTGGCCAGCGCCCTCCTCCTCACAACTCGTCCTCCTCCTCCTCCTCCTCCGCTTCCAACACTTCTAGCAGCTCCACGACACTGACGCTAGGTACTGCCAGGCTGCAAGAGCGTGCTCTTATCTGGACACTCTGTCCTCGTCGCAAACCAGCCCAGTTACGTCAGGGAGACAAAAACAAATGCGTTTTCAGCTGTGTCTTACTGTAGCCTTAGTGCCACTTTATGCCAAGTTAGAAATCACTAAAACAAACTGTACTGTATGTTTAGCACACAGACTTCCTGTTTTCTGTGCCAACTGCCTTTGTGAAAGAAACTTTGTGTGCATCTCTATCAGCCTAAGCACTATGACTATACACGCTAGGTATAGTTAGAAATGTAGAATCAAATTAACTGTGAAATCACAAATGTCATAAAAATAAATCCTGGAAGTCTTATGGCATTTAAAAGTCAACGTGCTTTCTAAGGCATCCGTTGTTTTTGTATTCATGCTTTAGAAATTCATCGGGACTTTTTGCACAGACCCCCGTCAGGATACATGCCTGAAGAAATCTGGAGGAAGGCTGGTAAGTGCTGTATGTCTTGGCAGACTTGTTGTCCTAGATAGCGGAGGGGATAGTCTAGTTACATAAGGGCATAGATTAGATTCCCATGTGTTATTAGTGATAAGGGCTTTACATCTGTCACCACTATGAAAAATGGCTGCAGTTAAAACTGCAGTGAAAATGCAGTAAATGGATGCAGTCAACAGCAGTGCAGTTTAGACAGAGTAGAGCTTAACTGAATGCCACTCGTGGGCAGTATTAGCATTAAAGTGAAGGCTTACAGGTTTTCGTCCTCAGGAATCCATTGCCAGCTTTTTTCTTTGCAGGGCTGCTTGTGCTCAGTTGCTGTAAAGTCCAGTCAGATTCTGTGCCGTTTTCTTCTTGCTATTCAGCACGAATCCTTGTCGTGATAAACACTGAAGCTCCAAAAGACTACAGTAGCGAGCACGTTCATAAATTAAACAAAATCAAGCTGCAACACAGGATTATAAATGCAGGTTTTCCTCAGTTTTCTAGGGAGATCTTTTCTTTGGAAAGAAAATTGTTGAAAAGAGAAGCAAAAATACAATAAATTGAAAACAATTGTAAGTGACAGCTAAACTTGTATCAAACTCAATTTATTCAATACGAGATTTAATTTAAATATGAAAGCTAGCAATGTTTTGCTGATTAAGGAGACCTCTAATTTTCACTTTAAAGCAGTGATATAGAATTGAAATTCCAGAACAGCCATTGTCAAGTCCAGCTGAGCTCTCGTGGAGTTCACATGACATTAATTCTGCTGTTGTCTGCACCATTCGACTGCATTTTCACTGGCAGTAATGCAATTTTAATTGCAGTTATTTTTCATACAGGTACTACAAGTATCCCGCTATCACCAGCACTAAAGCAACTACAAAGCAAGCAGGGTGAGTAAATGCTCCTATCTACTTTAACCTACTGGATTATTAATTCAGTGTCACAGAGAGGCATAAGCTCTAGCTGCTGTCTTCGCAAAAAGGGTCACTAAAGTATATTTCAGAAACATTTTAAGCAAAAACACATTCAATGGTCTACTGAGGTTTGAATCAGCCTTTTTGGAAAACGAGATCTGAAGTTAAAAAAACCCCAGCAAAAAACTACCCAATCCCTCACAAATTTGGGCTTACATATTGCTGCCCCTTTGTGTTCCATTAAGCGTTTTATGTTCTTTGTCCGTTGCAGTCACCTTGAGAACTTTACTTAAAATCTGCCGAGTAATTTCAGTAGCAGATGCATTGATTCCGATGTTTGAGTGGCCAAGGTTTGTACAAATGTAGGAAAGGCAAGCGTTCAAAAAAAAAAAAAGGGAATGAAGAAGTGTGTGGGAGGCTTCCAGAGGAGGCAGGAGCCCTGCTGCAGAAAGAACATGAACTGTTTCCCCAGCTGGGCACCAGCTACACCGGGAGGCCTAATCAGCCCCATTCCCCATCATACCCTGAGGTGGCCATGGAGCTCCTGACAGGGCTGGGGTGCGCCTCTTAAAAAATTGACCGTAATTTATGCCACTGATCTTTCCCACAAATGGAAAATGACTGTAATCATCATCCTATATAATTAGAGAGCTGAGAGTGCCTTCATGTGCTGTGATAGTGGGTGGAGGTGGGATTTCTTACAGTAGATCGTCAATACCAAACACTGCGGGAAGGGATACATAAGGCCAGTGTTTGAGCCCTCCTGAACACTGAGTAATGGTAACCGAGACTAACTCCCAAGGGGGCCGTCCAGTTCATCAGTTCTTACATATGGTACAGTATATATGGTATACACAATATAAAACATTAAAATCGGTTAAACAGTTTTGCATTTAATACTTAAATGCTACTAAATTATTAAAGAATAATAGCAGGAAAGGAATTTCTACAGCACACTGGGAGGACCATATTGGACAATGCAGTCATGTCTCATTTATATCTTTGAATTTTCTTCTTGATTGCCTAAAAAACCACACGGAGGTTTGGGTGTAGCATACACTAGTAATACATTTCCTAAGAACTGGAATGTCAGTAACTGTCGGCCAACTCCTCTTCTTTTGGGGGGGGCAGATTCTGTAACAGTGAAACGGGATGGAAACACTGAGCGTCCTGGGGACACAGAGGGGAGGGAGTGCGAGGGCTCGTGGGCGGCTGTGACTAACCCCTCCCCCCGCCTTTGCTGTCTCCCCAGAGGAAGCGGTGAATGAGGTGAAGCGGCAGGCCATGTCGGAGCTGCAGAAGGCCGTGTCCGACGCCGAGCGCAAGGCCCACGAGATGATTTCTGCCGAGAGGTCCAAGATGGAGCGGGCGCTGGCGGAGGCCAAGAGACAGGCCTCTGAGGATGCACTGACAGTCATCAACCAGCAGGAGGACTCCAGCGAGGTAAGAGAGGTCAGGAGATGTAGAGAGATACAGGAGAGTAATACTGACCAGCAGACTCCCGTCTTCTTAAAACAGAAGCCAGGAAACGTCTTTATGCAGAGGGTTGTGGAAGCCTGGAACTAGCTAACCAGCCATGCTGCTGAAGCTGAGACCCTGGTGCTCTCAAGAAACGAATAGATAAGATCCTGGGTTCAACTGGCTACTAACTACCAAATGGCACAGATGGGCCAAATTGCCTTCTTCCATTTGTAATCTTTCCTATATTCTTATGCAACTGTGTCTGATTGGTAACATGTCAATGAAGTACTTGCGTATGCAGAACAATGTGGTCAAGAGACAACGCTGTTCTATTTGCTGCACATTAATTGGTACTTTTCTCCTCTGAAACTCAATGTAACAAAGAGGACTGTGCACAATGTAACAACTGGAGTTATTTTCTCCCTTGTTGTTGGTCTTGTTAAAAGCTGAAGGCCTTTTCTCTACCTACAGTTAGCAATGCTTTCCCAGATTAAAGGAGTTAACACCTGGCTTTGGTGTCTTGTTTCTGAGGTGTAATAAACGCCTCTGGTCACTTCATTCTTAACTGGGTGATGCTGCGCTCTCAGGAGCTGCTGATGAGGTTCATGCCGGGCCCTTGTCTCCCCAGAGCTGTTGGAACTGTGGGAGGAAGGCGAGCGAGACCTGCAGTGGTTGCAACACGGCACGATACTGCGGCTCCTTCTGCCAGCACAAGGACTGGGAAAAGCACCACCATGTGTGCGGGCAGGGCCTGCAGGGCTTACCGGGGGGCAGCGGAGTCCCCCTGGGCACCCCCTCCTCCTCGGCACCCTCCACCCATTCCGAGGGCACCCCACCCGCCCCGCTGTCGGTGCCCAGCCAGGGCGGCGGGGGCAGCGGGGCGGGCAGCCCGAAGGAAGCCAGCTCCAGCAGTGCCTCGCGCTCCACCACCCCTGCCACGCCGGCCCTGCTCGACAGCGCCTCCCGCTGACCGCCGCCCACGCCCAGCCCGCTACCACTTTGCTGCTACAACTCCCCGCGTCCCAGAAGAGACTGAGGAACCTCCATCACAACCTTCCCAGCTGTAACTAACGCTAAAACTAATACTGCGTCTACTTCTTAGCTACCTGAAGATCTCATTGTTGCAACTTTTCAACCTCCAAATGACCTCTCTGTCTCTCAGTCACGCAAACACACATACACCTATGTAAGTGTCTGCAGTATTACTTGGCCAGGGCTTATTTTACGAGTGGTCAACTATTACAAATGAATATCAAAATAGCTGCCTGTCTTTCTAGAGCATGTTCAAGTGAACTTTTATAACTGGATTTTTAAAGAGTACTAAACCAGAATTCCATAAATACATTTTATAAATACAGCTGATGTTCTACTCGACAGATAATTATGTTTCTATTTTTGGTGGTGAATTACTGTCTTTACTCCACCATTTCAGTGGATGGAAAGGTAGGCAGCTTTAAAAAAATATTATCTGGCAAGCTGTCAATATGGCTTCTGTAAAATAAGTCCTACATATATACTGTATATGGTATATAAGGGGTGTGCATAAAATCCCAAATGCTTTTCATTATTCCCTGCATAGAAAATGGTACCACACAGTGACAGATTGCTGGAACTGTCCATTTTTTCAAAGGGAGGGAGTCCCTCTAAGGGACTAGGGATGTTTTGTGCCACCCCTATGGTATACATTATATAGATCTAGCGGAGATATGTCAAAGGAGAACAGCATCCTCTCGGCGTCAAGCCTTGATGGGACCCTCAATGGCTTCCTGCCTTTCTTTAGAAGAATATGAACTTGGAAATAATATCAACTTGCTTCTAAAGAAGAGGATCAGAAGACACATATGGTGCATCTTTTTCTTGGAATCGCTTCCAAGTGAAGGCTAACTGTTTATTAAAAAGAGGATTAAAGGATTAATTTTAATGTTTCATTTTCTGGCTTTAAAAAGAAAAGAATAGTCCAAAAATTTTCAAGGAAAAAAAAAATCACCCGTTAACTACCTTGCTAGCTAGCCAAGAAAATCTATACCGGACTCACCTCTCTGCTCTGATGTGAACCCAAATGAATTTTAAAAACACAATCCAAACCTTTCTATTTTTATTACACTGCCAAAGTTACTAAGAGACAAGGAGAAGCACTCATCTTGTTACCAAACACAAGCTACTTCGACTTCTCAGCAGTAAAGTCAGCCCAGAGAGCGACCGGCTTCAGAACACAAGCAAGATATACAGTACAGACACAAGAACTGTGACGGCTGAGTACTGCTTGAGAATACTCAAGCTCCTACGGGATTCCACGACGAAGGGACGGAGGAATTCAGTGTCGCGAGTTTTAAAATGGAAGGACAGCGAGAAGCATGGGATTTTGATTAGGACAGTGGCTTTTGTGAGTGGCAATGGCAAGGAAAGAAAAATAAAGACACTTGCCCCTCCCCCCCCCAAAAAAAAAAAAGATGAAGGACAGAAATGGCCAAGAACCTCAAAGGATTAAAAAAAAATCCAAGCAAGCTGTGTACAGTAGGAAAACTGCTCTGTTACCATTACAGTTTTACGTAGCTTTGAAGCAGAGACGTGTCAGTGGGTTTTTACTTTCCCATTTCCCTTTATTTTCCAAAGCATGAAAGAGCAAAGTGACAAGTACAGTATGTGATACTTCATTCTCTTCTCTACCTCCCTCTTCCTCCGGTGTGTTCCTCCCTGCCCTCTCGCCAAGACCATGTCCCTGCTCCTCGCCAAGACCTCTGGGCAGATATCTAAGAAGGGAACAAACTTGTTTGTGATGACTTTTTGTTTCTTTTCCAACGTGTCCCGTCTCTCGATTGTTCATCCTGATTGTTCATCCGTGCTGCCCAAGTAAGTTTTCAAAACACCGTCATGGAAAATGGGACATTTTCATTTTTTTCCCCTTAGGTTTGGGCTGAACTTTGTAGCAAAAGGAAAGAGTCCCTCTTGTATCTATAGTAGGCAAAGACAAGAAAATCCTAATGTAGAATATTTTCTATTGCTCACATTGTAAGACAGTGAGAGGACGGAGGTGCAATATGGAAAAAATATTTCAGCTACTGAATGGAACCTCAGCTACCGCCCATAGGGCAATATATATACATATAAATATATTTAAAATAATAACGATAACTTAATGTGAATGTATATAGTATTTAAAGAGGTCCAAAAATGTGTTTGCCAAATAAGAGAAACCTTTAAAGTATAAACTTTAGAATAGATTTTTTTATTTTTTTTATTGAAGGAATTGTAGTTACTCATTCAGAAGCTTTGTTTTTCCAGATTTGCAAAATCCGTCGTGTGTGTGTGTGTAAAATAGATTAAAGGCTTAGAAAGGCAAAAATCAAATTATCACATGAATTCACTGTACACATAAATTGTGTTTGCAAAGAGAGATCTGGTGCTATATTGGACAATATCCCTCTCCTTAGGGAAACTAGGTGCGAGAACCGTATGCTTGAGCACATGTTCTATGAAACTTTTCTCTTAAAATGAGAAATGTGTCTTTATTTTAAAGACCAGCCCTGCAAGGCCAGGTTTTATGCACTGACTCAGCTCTGTATTAACGGGCTAGTGTCAGAGTAGGTGATCCTATCCTTGTTAAATCTGGCAGTGTGAATTTACTGAAAGTATGTGAAATACTGCCATCCACTGGTCCAAAAAGACACTGAAGTGATATCACTTTATGGAGAGAATCATTATGCTAATATTTGTATTTGCCCTATATTTTAAGCACTCAATGGAACATATGAAATGAGTAAAACAAAAACAAAAAGAACTCAAAACAATGTGGGAACTTCTTTTACAGTCACTAAAACGTTATTTCTGTCATAGGTTTTGTTTCTGAAATGAGACACAAATGTATTAATCATGTGCTCCACTGTCCCTGTGATACTTCACGCAACTTGTGCAGGTTTTCTGTAGATAGTTGTGCAGTTTCTGGCTACCTGCTAATTCTGTTAAATCCAGCACCTGAGTTATTTCATCCCAAGCATCACTTCACACATTCCTCAACAGTACTGTACACTCCAACAGATTCAATATTGAGCAATTTGAAACTGCCTTGAGAAAACTCACTTCTTTTCCCCCTTTTCCAATCCATATTTACAAGATAGCTGTCTGGGGCATACACTTTCTGTTTCCATAGAAACAAGACTAAATGCCCCCCCATGTTTTCACCCATTTCCTGTCATGATGTTTAAAATACTTATAATAGAACATTTATTTATATGAAACCTGGAATTCAGCAGTGAGGCGATTAATCCCTGGCTGTCATATACCAAATAAACACAAGATGATGTATGTGTTCCAGTCTGAAGGGATGCCCAAGAGGAGGATTTGATAGTTTAATGGAGCAGTCTCTTGGATTTTGTTGCACATTAAGTGGGACTTCTGCCATGTTGTCTTTGAAGACTTTTGTTCCAAGCATGAAATCTGAAGCACCGCTATACAGAGACCATTTCAAGATTATTTCTTCCATTTTTTCAAAATAACTGGAGTTGGGGGGGGGGGGAGTGGAAAGCAAATGGAATTTGCGAAGGAATCATTAAAGCTGTAGACACGTTGGGCATTTAAGACCATCTAAGAATTCAAAAACAAAGACACACCCCAACACCAGGAAATCTACAATACTCAACAGTTTTAGACACTTTACCCTGTCATTATTATGCAAGTGCAAACTTATGCTATACAGTATACTGCCAACAGTTCTGTAAGGGTTTTGGCTTGAGAACAATTTTACAGTTTAAATGTTGAAGTTCTTATGTAGGACCTTTGAGTCACATCCGATTTAGATGGGCAGGCAGTCATCCGATTTTGGGACAGTCAATCGCAGTCAAGCTGTGCAATACTGGTTCCTGGATTCGGAGGATAAAGACAGTAGCACTGCACAGGGACCGTTGCAAAGGACCACACTGTTTTTGAGCATTAGCTTTGAGGATTGGCTGGGATGTGTCCTTCAGCAAAAATGAAAGAGAATTAAAAAATTCAGAAGCTAATTCCAGGCTTACAAGAGCTTACAGCAATAAAGCATGTAGTATTATTTATTGCTTTCTGTCTGTGGTGAAGACAAAATAGAAAGAAGCACGTGAAAGGTGGGCATTCTTTATGACTCACAACTGTTCATAATTAATCATGCTGAATATGTTCATATTTCATAAGCAAAAGTAATATATACAGTGTGAACAACGTGAAAGGTAATGAACTTCAAGGTACCCAGGACTGCACGGCATATGGGTTGCTGTATAGGTTGTCTTTGTGCATCTCAGGCTCTCCAGTGTTTTGCTGTTCCACCCTCTCTTCTCCCCACCCCCAGCCTCTCTCTCTGGCCACTATTGACCACTCTACCTCTGAGTGCTCGGTGAACCTCCTGGGTAGCAATTCCTGTAAAAGAATAACAGATAAACAAAACCAGAACCCAGGGATCTCAGAGCAGCACGCTACTCGCAGTCATGCAGAGCCACTGCAACTCACAGCCAGGGATGCTGGAATGGTTTTTGTTTGTGGAATCGCTTTTTCTGAAAAAGTCAGAAGTCCGGCAAATACGAAGGATTTTTAGAGCACTTCTATGCCATCAAATAAAGTGACTGAAAAAAAACTTCTCCACTTTGCAATTCAAGGCTAAACATCTATAGCAAAAAGCTGTTTGGATTAAGGATAACCACACATTTGAATAGAAAGGGTACTTAACAGCTTATGAAAAATTGACAAAAAATGTAATGTTATGTATTCTATATACCATGTAATTTACTGATCCGCTGGTACCATCTGCCTGATGACACAATCCCAGATGAATGAAGTGTTCAAATGTAGTTACAGGGTGATAGCACTTGGGTGGTTTAATCTAAAGAAGGCCCCTTAATCTAACTCGACTAAGTTTCTTTTTTTCCCCCATTTTCAACCCTGGAAAGTGAATAATAGTTTGTTTTTCTTCCACTTTCAAACTCCTTAGATGTTAACTACAGCACTTGAGAATTACTCCTGCACTTAAGAGTGGATCTCTGTGACTGACTAAAATGCAGCATTTTTGTTCACATGAGCAGTCGGATGATGAGAAAAGCATGGCTAGTTCAGCAAATAAATCCTGAGATGTGGAATGATGCTACCTTAATGTTCTCACAAGGTTTTTATTAACCCCACACTTATTTTAGTGATTCTTCAAGAACAATAAAAGAAACTGCTTCATGAGATGTTAACTGCAGATTCAAATTACAGGCATTTTACTTGATTGCCAAATGGAAAGCAAAAGTTGATCTCCACAGCTATATGTTTTCAAGCACTTAGTTTCTTACTAAACATTATATTCAGAAACAACTTCTTTTTTGCTTGACAACCCAGAAAAAAAGCATCTTTTCCTGCCACATCCTGAAAGCATGCTTTGTTTAGTTTGACTATAAATGAAAAGTGAATTGTGTTACTTTACAACTGAGAATGGAAGTCTGTTTTTACTCTGACAAAAAAAAAAACATGCTTCTACGATGCATCATATGCACAGCTTTCAAGTTCAAGGTTTTTTAAGGCTACTTATAATTAAGCCCTTGCCTTGTCATTTATCATCCAAAATAATTAAAGCACAGACCAAAGCATTTCTACATGGCTTTAGATCAGACCAGTGATCAGTTTTGGCATGCTGCAGACAAACCAGAGAAAACGAGGCTCTTTACCAACTATATTTGTAACCAAAGTTTCTGGAATAGACGCATATGCTCAAAGCACAAGAAAAAAAAACCTTACATGTAAAGGGAGATTTGAAGAGTTTGAACTTATCTAGTAAACCAATCAAAGCACGTAATTGGTTGCGTCTTTGGCTGAATGCCTCGACTAAGGATAGCTTTGAATCTGGAATGCTTAAAATGACTGCTGTAAAGCCTTGGATTTCGAAGGGTTAAATACAGCAGCAAGCATAATGTCTTTTCTTGATCGGAGCGCACAAGCCTCCTGAGTTTTAATTAAACATCAAATACAGATACAGATAGAAAAAAAAAGAGCTGTAGCATAGGTGGCTGCATTTCGACCCCTTCGTCTTTAAGGAAACGGACAGAAACAGTGTAATACATCTGTAAGTCTACATGGACAGCAAAGACTTCTGTGCTGTATTCTGAAGGTAGAGGTGGGAAAACACCAACTGTCCTGGTTAGAGTGTGCGGTCTGGTACTGTTGATTAGCTTAGAAAATATTACAGAAACAGATCTTTGACAGCTTCTCACGGGCTCTGTATGTCTGATGACACATTTTAGCTCAAGGTATTATGTATTTGTCATTATTTTGTCAAAAGGTAACCAATTTTAAACCAAAACAAATGAAGGTAAATGTAACATTTTGGCCTCTTCACTGACCTCTATCATACTTTGCCATTGTTCAGTTAAATGGGAACTTTTTTACGTCCAAATATACTCTGTATGCATCTCTCTTGAATTTCGCTTTCGAGTTCTGAAGGAGGACTGCTGGGGGCCAAGTCAATGAATTGTGAACCCATTGTGAAGACTGGAAAGAAAGAGTAGCCGGAGTTTAGGAACAGGAGAGAACAGGCGTGTGTTTCACTGTTTACCAAGGCAGAGTGAAGGGATGTTTTAGAAACACACATACAGTGACTGCCAAGGTTCATAAGATGGTTATAAGGAGAAATGCCATTAGCCTTTTCTCTTTTTTTCTTAAACAAGTATCAACTAAAACTGAACATATCTCCTGTAACAACAGGAGCTGGTACAGTATTTTCTTTAAATGCATTAGTCAATTGATTTCCTTGATAATGTACAGATCTCTTATAGGTAACTCCTTGTTCAAGAGCAGCTTTTGCCTCTGCTGTGCATAAGCAAACCTGTTCTTTTTTGTTAACTAGTGAAGAAAAGTCTAATTAATCATTCTTTCCATCGAACTTGGTATGAACGATAAAGGGTATGCATTTTGCCATATTTTACTCTTCACAGGGAAATCAAAATTATTTTAGTTTCAACCAATCTACCATATATATACTGCTGATTGCTCAACCAGCATGGTAAAAACGGTTTTAGAGGTGGACACTGATAGAATCCTGAAGAAACGTTTGAAATCATGGATAAAGCACTTGGTTTCTCCCAAACTATTTAGGAAAGGCTTTTTTATTGAAAAACCGAAGGTTTGAGTTGCTATGTGTAGGAAAGCATTGTATACTGTATTGTGCAATACCTAATTACAGAAAAAAAAGAATAATGACATTATTGAAGGTTGGTGTGTTGACGAAAAATGTTTTTTTCTGTTCTTTTTAAGGGTTCTGTGATCATTCTATAGAAAAGTGAACTGTGTCAGGAGACTTTAATTTTGATTTTTTTTTGCATGCTTTCCCCTCTTTGCTATTTCCCTTTCTAACTGTACGCTATGTTGGACATGTGAAGCTGTAAACATTCTAATTCAGGATATTGTCTGTGTTGAGCTCCGTATCTGTGTAATAAAAAAAGTTGAATATGAACCATTCCTTTGTGTCCTGTCATTTCCTGAATCCTTCACTCTGCTTCTGACCAAAATATAGTCCAGATGTTCATTTTTCATACAGGGTTATCCCATCGATCTAGACCCTAGATCTCTAATGTCCCACTCATCCTACACAAATGAAAAGCTTGAACTTGAAACATTCAAACCTTAGATATGCTAGAGATGATCAAGGGTGTCCAGTAAGTAAACCCCTGCCTTCAGGTTCGTATATGAAGGGATCTCAAACTTGCTTCCTGCAGGCCCTCCTCTCCTCTTGGTTTTTGATACAACCTGACTACTCAATTTAACATTTTTGTTAAGGCCTTTTACAGCTGATTAAATAAGACTTAATGGTACTGTAAGTGTTCAATTAAATTAAAATCACTTCAGAGACGGGTTTAAAATTATTACAATTTAAAATTGCAGCTATTAATTCAACCAATTATGTAACTTAGGATCAGGGTAAAACAAATCTAAAAACACCGGGCCCTAATATATATGCAGAGACTCCTAATATAGGTCATGAGCATCACACTATACTGTATATAAGACTGGAAAATTGTTTACTGGCCCTTACATTCTCATGATCAAAACCTCTCATGTTCAGAAAACCACTGCACTGCTGAGTGAGGGTTTTCTAGCGACCAACAATCATTTGATTAGCATGGAACGGAAGGGAAGGGCTATCTCCTACTTGCATCTGTTCTATACATAACAAAGCAAATTAATTGCCATTTCTGTTTCACCAGGAAACATAATAGGAATTTAAATCGTCCATTAGCCTAAGCTCTGGTGCAACAATGTGAACTTCGGGTTAAAGAGCCACTTGTCTGTTCTCGGAAAAAAATATTTGCTTCAGACAAAGCTTCCCGAAAGAAACTTACTTGGACATTTACTCTGATATTAAGTACTCATAAAAAAATCACTTATGAACCACGTTGAGTACTTTAAGTGGTAAGGGCTTCTCGAAGAAGTTAAGTATAAAGTAGAACGAGAAGTACTTGCCTTTTCCAGCGCTGTAAATTATTCTTGCTGTTTGCCGACTTCGGTAGGATGGCTTTTGTCCTCAATCACATCCGAGACAGGTCTTCTAACATTCCTGTGCATAAACGGGAATACGAACAGACACGGATTCAGACATCGTCACCAGATGAAACTGTGTTGGAGATCTGTATTCTGAATATTTGCTGCCAATTAAATATAAATAGTAATTTAATTATGATTGCAGGGTTAAAAAACATCTTAACTTATATTAACTTTCATAAAACAGATTTATATCCATATATTATAGTTTACCGAGGCAAATAACAAGCGCAAAACAACATAATAAACATTCCCAAAGCCACCCTCGCAGTCTCATGTCTCATTTGAAGCTAACTCAGCAGCTTGGGTTGCCATGTGTAGTACTATATGACTAATGACAAGACGTCCTTCACCTAACAATTTCCGCAGCAGGTAGATTCCTCGCAATCAGGAGTTTAATTGATTCCCTGGATCGAGATGAAACTGCTTTGATAAATATGAAATCTCCACATCACTACGTTTGGATAATTGAAATTGTAAATTGAACAAGCAATAATAATAAAATATTAGTCCTACTTTTTTTATTTACAGTAGGGGGAAACGACCTCTTTAGCCCGGGGCGGTTTTTATGTCAAACATTAATCTAGGAGGAGGAATAAGGTTTTGAAACACATGTTTTGAGCCTTTGGAGAGAGTGTCATGGCGGAAGAGAATCCCGGCGTTGACGAGGGACCTGGCCTTCTAGACGGAGAGTTTGCAGGGGATCGTAAGGTGGAAGACCCTGTGAGTTTGCGAGATGAGTGTGTCATGGAAAAAAAGTTCTAATACAGAATAGAAAGCCCACATCATAAATACCGCGCACCAAAGAAAGAGTATAATTTACCGAAAATGTAATGATTAAATAGCATTGCGAACTATCAGCACGGCAGCGGTTCTAAACCTAAGTCAATGAAGTTGCTTCGTGCCTACCTGCATGAAAGTGTAAAATAATGTTTTAACGGGGAAAACAATCAGTGTGAGCACAAATACATTTTATTACCCTTCATTCACAGCTCCTGTTTCGTTAGCTACACTCCCGTATATAAATTAATAATCTATCCCCACTTCTATTACGCACACCTTTGATTTATAGCTATATTTTTTCATTTAGTTAATTCTGTTACCAGACAATTCTAGCTGTAATCAAATGAGTTATTTTGGACTGAGCTGGTCTAATGAATGATGATTTCCTTATGTTTACCTCGTCTGACCGCTTTCGTTACGGTAAATCAAACTAAGGTTGGGATACTCCTGTATACGGTTAAGAGCTCAATCTTACACTGGGACCTACAGCACCCATTTCAAGCACTGCGGATGTGCATGGTTGCATTTTGTGTTTAGGTCTATGCGAGATATCTTTGGCTTGCAGGTTGCTGTATGTAAGTACAGTGTTCAAACAGAACATTTCTAAACAGTGGCACGGTTGTCAAGTCCATGTGTCATGTTCCTCTGAGAACTCCCCCAACTATCGACTGTTAGTTTTCCGGAAAACCTGGAAATCGTGTTCTTAAACGAATATAATATTTAAGGGAGCTCGCAAAATATCCTATGACAAACGCGTTTCACACAACTCACGTTCTGTGCTTGAAAATGCAGTGCAAAGACAAGTCTCGCCACCAGACGCTCTGGGTTCACTACAATATCACGCAGTTATTTTTTCCCACTTTTTTCCACCTTTGATGGGCCTGCAGGAGCTGGAGGCGATCAAAGCCAGGGTTTTTGAAATGGAACAGGAGGCTGAGAAACTGAAGGAAGTGCAGTACCAGACTGAGAAACAGCTCATCATGAGCCCACAGACGAGTAAGCCAGACTACTCAAAACACGTTTTAGCCGTAACAGTTAGATTTGACCTGGAGCTCTCAGTCAGAGGTCTGTGTGGTCATACTCTACCTTGCATGTATCCAGCAACAAAGAGAATGACATATTTGACCACTGACACATTGAGTCGTTTATAAAATAAATGTATTATTTGATACTTACTGTCACAGTGATTATGTTGGATCTGTTCTTCCGCTTTTCATGTTTCATGGTATTATTTATAATAATGAGAGACTTCGATGCAATTTTGTGAAAATTGTGGGACGTTATAGAAAAGGATTTCTTGAAATGGTTGAAAGCCCATTAAATTAGTCCATATTAAAGGACTAAAGCTTGCATTATTATAGCTACTGTGAATGTGTGACAGTTCCTCATGTAAGGGTTCTGTTACACTGACAGCTGTGTCATTGCTTGTTCTGAAAGTTTGTGGAAAAATGTAAGGACTCTACCAGTACGGTAGAAGTTTTATTTATTTTTTTATACAGAAACTTTTAGGTTGTTAAAAAGGGTAGTAGAAATGTGTGCAGTGGTTGAGACCCTGAAAAATAAGGATATTGTCTCAGTTTTCAATAGAATTTCTATATGCGTGTGTCACATTGTCTGCATGAAGATTATCACCTAAGATTTGATTTAAATTTAATGTTTGTTAGCCCTCAAGTATGTAGGCAGCCAAAAATAAATGTTCAATTTCTCCTTCTTTTCCTAGGTTTTTTCTATCCAATGACCCCTGAGGAGAAAACGGATGCAGATAACAGATCAGTCTATGTAGGAAATGTAAGTTTGAAACATTAGCCATTCAAGCAGTTGTTCACTGGCTAAAGTTGGAATCACAATTATGTAAAATGTATTGATTGACACTGGTTAGCGAGATTTTGTTTTCTTTGTTGAAAGCATTCGTTAGCATACTGTTTAAAAAAAGTATGATGGTGGAAACAAATCTTTCTGAAACAAAACGCAGGTGGACTATGGTGCAACAGCAGATGAGTTGGAAATTCATTTCAATGGCTGTGGACCAGTTAATCGTGTGACCATCTTATGTGACAAATTCACCGGTCATCCCAAAGGGTAAGCTTGGCCTGCTCTGGGTTACTTCATATAGCCTCGTACAGTTTTCTTATTACTGTAACTCAACACACCTGTCAACACAGAACACGGGTCACATGTTCCTTTCATCATGAGGAGAAATATCTTAAAGTTGCCAGCTGCCATCTGTGTATGTCACCATTTGAAAGCATGGATCTGAAATTTTTCTGAGTTAGGTCTATGTTTTCATAGACAAATTGACCACATTCGTTCTAGGCCTTCTCGAATGTATATTAAGGACAGGTCATGGATCAGCACAGTGTGTAATGTGTGGATGTGTGTTCTGTTTTTCAGGTTTGCGTATATTGAGTTTTCAGAGAGGGATTCGGTGAAGACTGCTATGGCTCTCGATGAGACATTGTTCCGGGGTCGAGTTATCAAGGTAAACTGCAGGAACAGAAGCATACCCTTCTATAGGTGGAGCATTACCTCCGTGCTGCCTGACCTTGACAGAACCCCGAAACTGAGCAAGGCTGGTCTCTTCTGGGACAATTGACATCCAAGAAAAAAAAACAGGTTGCTGATGTAAATGGTGCTGACTGACCAGTAGGTGGCGCTCTTCCCTCTGGTGTGCAAATACTGGTCCAGTGCCCCAGTGTCTTGACTGGTCACTTTGGGATGTATGAGGTGCCATCCTTCTGCCTATGATGAGTCATTAAACCAAGGTACTGGCTACTTGGTCATTAGGGATCCTAGTGCACTGTGTGTCAGATTAGGAGCGTTGGCCCCGCTGTCCAGGTTAAATTCCACTCTCATACAATGTACCCTTCCGTTAATTCAATTGGTGAGGCAGTTTCTCGCTTCTTTCCTGATCTGCTGCGTAGAGGAGCAGCTGTTTGTCTCCCGGGTGGATGCTGCAGTGGAAGATGAAGTGGGTTCCCGCCTCTGTGTGAAGGACATTGTTGTCCTTTGGGATGAGAAGCGCTATATAAATTCAAGAATTATCATATCAGCCTTCTTTCAAAGATTAAAATAATGGAAATGAATTAGGAACCGAAGTGGGGGGGGGGAAATGAAAAGTGTACTCTAACATCAATGACTTATGTGGTATAACCACGACCGATAATCCCTCTTACACGCGAAGCCTTTGTGTATCATGCATGATTAGTGCAGTTGAGATTGGCTGAACCCTGTCCCTGATGCCAACTCTTCTCCTCGCTAAAATGAACTCCAATGAAATCTGCGGACCAGGGGTTTAGCTCTGGTGCGTTTCCCGAGACTGAATGCTCCCTCACACCCTCTCTCCCGACGGCCGGGGCTCTGGCTGTGGCTTTTGACTTGCAGGTGCTCCCGAAGAGGACGAACATGCCGGGGATCAGCAGCAGTGACCGGGGTGGCCACCGGGGGGCGCGCTCCAGGGGACGGGGGTTCTGTTTCTCCAGGTACAACAGCGGCTTTCAGGCCAGGTACCGGGGGCGCTCCTCCAGGTCAGTACTGCAGCCTCCCCTGGCGTGGGGAATGATATGTGCAATAAAGACATGGCTACGCCACACACTGTCATTCTTCATGCTGCTCAGATGACAGCAAATGCAGGGGTTGGAGTGTGTATTTATCACCCAGTTTACGCTCCTGGCAATGCCTGCTCACTGAGTATCTAAGCGTATATTCAAACTCAATCACTTCAGCTTTCAAACACGGGTAAAATATTTAAAGAAATGGTCATATTTGCACCAACAGGCTGAATAGGTGCCCTGCATTATTACACCATGGCTGCTCGATGTATTATGTCAGGGCACTAATAATAGGAAAACTTCTAAATCTAGTCTGAAATTCAGAGATTTCACAGATTTTGTGTGCTGTGGGTTTTTAAATAATTTTGCATTATATTAGTGGCTTTAGACTTAAAAGCCTTCACATGCATCTGTTTCCACAAAAGAACTGAGGTGCACCACTCCTAAATTGTTCATTTCTTTCCTTAATGTTAGGGGAGGTGGAAGAGCCCAGGCTTGGTATTCTCCTTACTAAAAACGAAACTTCTGGATGTGAAGATAACATGGCAACAAGTTTTTCTCTTTTTTTTTCCACCGTGTTTTGCAATTTTCCAGGCTCCAAGAGCACCTTTAAGCAGCTGATGGGCCTGAGTGCACATGGCATGTTATCTAGGTGAGCAAGTGCCAAAACATAATCAGTTTCCAAAACCGCACTGCTCCAAAAAGCAACAATCCAGAAGAATCATAAGCCATTATATGTGGCTACAAGATGCTTGTATTTATTTTAAGTTAGTACTGTGTATTACATAGTTAATCTTTATAAAAATCCTTTTGCAGGTGTTAGGGGTAGGGGAGAAACCATATTCCAAAATGGACTACTTGATTTTTGCATTGTTTTGAGTTGTGGTCTGTCCATCTTGTTGTATATAATACATGTGAAAAATTTACGTAACTAATAAAATATTCACGATTTAATATGAGTTGTACTGTATATTTTGTTTTTGTGATTAAAGCTAACAGAACAGCTTTCTTGATTTACTACAGTATGTGCAAAGATTCTGAATCGCATTTAAGGTTGCAAAATGTAATGACAATTTCAAAACATTTACCGGAAACTGAAATGTCCTTTGCCCATATTTATTCTTACTTGAAAAAGTACTTAAAAGCAATCTTTGAAATTCTAAAGATGTGTTTGTAAAGGTATGTTATATCTTTGGATATATTTGCCATTTGTGCTCAAGGTGTGGGAAAACTCTTCTTGTTGCTCTTTGGTCCTGTCAGGTCACTAAAATAGTGTCAATCTCATATATCCATTAATATATAGATAATATACATTAAGTCTTGTGTAGTGCAATTAAAACATTCTTGAGAGTCAAAGATCCCACTTTTATAAGCAATAATTAATGTAGATAAAGTCAGATGTCTATTTTATTAAATCAACACTGTTTCAATTTAAGATTACTGTAAAAACTGATATGTGAACTTGGATGTTGGAGAGTGAGTTCTTACACTGAGATTATTTATGTGACAAAGCCTGGGTGAACTGTGCCTTTAGAAAGTATTCACCCCCCCTTGGATGTTTCCACTATTTGTTATGTTGCAAACTCAGAAATACATCTCTATGGCTTGTTTTGTACTGATCTACACAAATTACTGTACAATGTCAAATTGGAGTGAAAATTCCAGATTTTTAACATGCAATTACAAAACCAATGTCAAGATTTGATTGTTATTTTCTCCCATTACTATGATTCCAAATTTAGGCCAGGTACACCTAATTTCCTTGTGAGATCACCCTGAACCTTGAAAGGAGTCCACCTTTGCTCAGTTCAGTCGGTTGACATTTTAGGAGAAATACGCCTATACAGACTAAGACATTGGAGAAGTAATTTATTTTTTTCTATACAGGACAAGTAATTAACATCACTAAACAAACTGTTACAAGGTTCAATTTTATGTACAAAGCAGAACATTGAAGATGGGGACTTGAAGGCATCAGCTAACCTGTACCATCATCGTGGAAACCATGTTATCAAAGGCCCTGAGAAGGAAACAGAAACATTAGAACACGATTGGAACAGTTGAATAACAAAACTAGAATAAGAAGTCAGGCTTCAGCAGATTTATTCCTTACTTGGACTGTATGGGGTCACCGGGATTATAGAATGGGTTACACATCACATCAGTGTAAGAGTTGTGTAACTTCCGGAACATCTGTAAAGAAATGGAAACATCACCATTGATTCAATATCTCTGGCCAGGCCCCACACTTTGTGAAACTTATTTACACCAAATTAACCCCACCCTCAACAGGTGATGGAATCATGGTAGCCACATTGAAGCCAAAGTCACCTTTATTGCCAAACCAACCCTTCAGGTTGTCAGGAATTATTTTTTTGTGGTGTGCTCCAGATAACAGAGATACAAAAGAAGAGAAAGAAAAATCACAAATACTACACACGTAACATATCCAAACATATACAATTTGGTGCTACATTACAGTGAAGACGGAATCCACAATTTTACCAATAAATACTTTTCTAACATCTCTGAAAGTAGTGAACTATGTCTCTTTTATCAGCCAGTGCATAGGTAAAGTGTTAAACTCTAGGTGCTGTTGCATTACTCATCAGTGGACACTTTGCAAGTGTTACAGGATACGATGTATAGTCCTATTCAGAGTTGAGAGACCGAACAGCCACAGAGTACTGTAGGTCCTCTGCCAATATTGACAATATTAGTGGAGTGCATTTCTTTACATTTAAAAGCTTAATCCACAATATTGGTTCCAGGCATGATTTTCTTTCCCACCTAAACTAGGTGCATGACCAGCTTCAGCTGTGAAAGACAACTTTGCAACTGATAAAGGAAAAATGTAGGACTCACACTGCGGATCTCATTGTCTCTGAGGGCTGTGTTCGATGAGTCCACTACAATGACAAACTTCACCTTGGAATTTGTGACATAACCATACCTGAGGACAAAGTAAAGGAAAACCCCCATACAGAGAAATGGGAAAATATTCACGGTTCAACAGATTAAGACAAAATGAGAGAACCTTTCACAGATGGAGTGAGCATAACATGTGACAGTATATTTCTCCCCAACAGTTCACCCACACAAAAAGACAGGCAGTTTCTCTTTGATTGGCCAGCACGTAGGAGAAGTGGTGAACTGTAGTTACTGATGTGTGGCACCTTGCCAACTGTTACTGTTACAGGATACACTTTGTAGTCTTCAGTGGGGTACAGAAGACCTAGGTAGAGTTCTCTCTGATCGACCAGCGCTTTGCTCACGGACGAGATCTTGTCCTCCACCACGTCCAGCGAGGTGTGTACCGTGTAATGGAACCTCAGCTCATCTTCCGTAGGGACGCTTCGGATGTACAGAGGATAGTTCTGAAGAAAAGATCAGTGGCAGGAGACAATCATTCCACGGGACACACTGTCTTTTACTCCTCTAGCGACAGTGGGAAACCGTTTAACACCTTTAAATGTAAAATACGCTTTTATTTGTATTTACTTTACATTTACGAAGATCGTTTTAGCCGCCACCTTTGAGTTTGGCGGATAACATGCCTACCAGATACCATGCCGTTCCTTGTTTGTTTTCGCTTTGACGAACATGCCTTAAATACCCTGCTTTCTAATAGAGGCATGGAAATGACAAAGATATTATTTACAAATACACGACCTCATATAATACAAGCTACAGCGACTCACCTGGCAAACAGTAAACACATCAAACATCCAGCTTTATACGTTACATTTAAAGTAAAAGACTTGGTCACAAAGTTCACTATTTAAATTGTGATTTGGTGTTTTCGACTGACGATAATAAAACTAAACCATTTTGTTGTTTTTAATAAAAAACACTTACCTCCTTAGCGATGACAGCGATACACACCGCCATACTGAAAGCGAGCAACCCTCGTCACGTGACCATACCGAGGCGGGTCCATGGTCATGTGACCCCGGTTTCCTTCATCTGGAAGTCCTATAAACTTGTTTTGTTGAAAACTAACCACTTTTCACTACTACTTTGTTTTGTGGGAGTTAAGTGTCATTAGTGTTTTTTTTTGTTTAATTGCCAGTTATAGTGTAAAAGGCACTGAGGATCATACATTTGGCAATAATCTTTCTCTGCACGTAAGAATAAGCTTTCCGCGTGGTGTTACAGTGATATATGTACTCCAAAATTTAGTTCTTTGTACTGGTCTAAAACAGCTGATCAAATTGTTTTATAGGCAACCTATAAATTTGCAGTCACCAAGCATGGCAGATGGCAGACATGTGTTGGGCATTGATAATTGTTTTTGAATAATCAGAAGCTAAGGATCAAGCAATTATACAGACGTGCAACTGCGCTACAAAGAAAACCCCCCTCGCTTCTATTTTTGTGCAAGGTGTTTGTTAGATTTTTTAAAAAGATCTTTCACGTGATCTCAAGTTCATGTGACCAAAGAGCACACCTCCCCGAGTTCGTCTTGTGACGCTTTCATTTCAATCCACGAGGTGTAAAATGTTTTGTAAAATCATAGCCAATGCGTTCGTTTTATTTTTTACTTTTGAATGCTGCTGTCTTGCAGAGACCAGACAGAATGGCTCCAATCCAAATATTATCATCATGCTCATGGATGATGTAAGTTGATATTTTAAAATATTTGACCGTCTCGTTTTTAGCGCGGGTTGAGAAACTTTTTTGCACGTTATCTCAGTGTAGAGAGTAAAGAAGTTTTATGTTTTGGCAGTAGATACCTGTATTGATGAAGTACAGTTGACAGTTAATCACTACCGTTTGACGTCTGTGTAACGGTATGGTCTTGTTCTATAGTTCGGTTACTAACCAGGAAGGTTTAATGATGGGGGAAGTAAGCTATTTATATAATGAAAAAATACCTTGTTTTGAAAAAGGAGATTGAAAACCTGTCTGAAGCAAACAAACATTTTTTCTTTTGGTCCGTGGTCTTATAGTATCTTTAACATTTTTGTTATGGTCGTTTATAGATGGGGTGGGGAGATCTGGGAGTGTTCGGGCAGCCCTCGAAGGAGACCCCAAATCTCGACCGAATGGCCAGCGAAGGAATGTTGTTCCCCAATTTCTACACTGCCAATCCCCTGTGCTCCCCTTGTGAGTACGGACGTGCGTTACAAGCAGAAGAGTGAATTAGACGGGTGTGGTAAAGATCTTGGCATATGCGTGGTAAACTGTGATGACACTGTAAACCTCAGGAAGGACACGATCTGTGAAGTGGAGGTGCAGTTTTCATCAAGCATCTTTAAAATCCTTACTGCAGGTTTCACGAATATGATACATTTTAGCTGGTGCAAAACGTGGTAAAAAAAAAAAACAGACCCGTGTGTATAAGCAACTTCAAAAATGACCAGGGATCTTCAGTGTGTCCTTTTCGGAAGTCACTTGGGGTGGATGTAGTAACACAGGATGCTTGCACTGTTACTGAAGGGTGAAGCAGAGCACCACAGTTGTGTAATCTTGCAGATGACTCCCGGGGAACACATTCTCATGAACAACAATACTAGGCTCTTGTTGCCACCATTTGTGGATACTGGTGACGTTAGTGCACTCTGGTCTGCATTGCTGTTGTTCTCCATGGTCCTGTGTGTAACACATTACTCACTGCTTCACAACAGTGCACAGTTTTCAAATACAGATGTTCAATCATGCCAGCGTCTTACATAGCCCTTTGATCTTTAAAACAAAATATTTTCTCATTTTGTAATAGCTATGCATCTGTATTTTTATATTTTTTTAACTTATTTTTGTCGGCATAATCATATTTGAAAGTAAATCTCCAGATCAACAAAGAAAAGTTTAACTGCACATAAGCTCTCTCAATCTCTAGACCTCAGACCTGATTCTAGCTCCAGACGGCCATTCATTAATGGAAACCACAGGGTCTGATCGGTTAGAACAGTTCTATATGGGGGAATGCCAGAACCTTATAGCACACTACAGTAGAAATCTAGTCTGTGGAATCGCTGCCAGAGGAAGTTTCACAAAAATACTATTTACTGGGGTGTGAATAAATGTCGCTGTTGTTTTCTGGGCTATATTAGGGCAAAAGTGAGTTAATTAACATCTTGTTTGAAAGACGAAGGCTCAGAGACCTGTGCCGTGGAATTGTAGAGCACCACCAAATAGTCTGACAGACACACAGTGTCCACAAATACACTCAAGGCAGGAGATGTTGCCACAAACCATTCGGAGGAAAGGGCTGTCTATTGAGTAGGAGCTGCCTGTGCTTTTTCCAAGCCTCTAACAATATGGATAATTGCAATCCAGGAAGCTCAAGTGGAGGATGGACAAGTTGCAATAATTAAACGGGGACTGTGATTAAGAGCAGGAATATATTTGGGGTGGGAGATTGGGAGATTGGTGGTAGGTACTGGAATCCTTTTAAAGCCTATTCTTCTATTTTAATGAATAATTCAGAATTCTAAGCTGTATCTGTGTGGATGATAGTAGAAAGACTCATTATGGTAATAGGGATAATGCACTATTGAAATATGCTAATTAGACCTAATTTGGGAATTTGAATAAACTTGCTATGCTAATGAGGTCTGCCATCAGGGCTTGCAAAGTTTTTTTTTCCATCTTCTAATTAATATTTAAGCAAATACGACTTAATCAATTATTAATCTCATATATGTTTGATGTGTGCCTTGAAAACGCCCTGACATACTGCAGTTCGTGAAAGCCGATACCTGAAACCTCATTTTAACGTTATTAAAAGTTATTCAAAATTCCCTTCTACTGTGGCTTGATTAAAATTCCATTCCACATTGAGATATTAGAGCACTCATTAGTCTTAATCGTTATCTGTTTAATAGGAATATTAAGTCAATTTCCCCTTTTCTTGAAGTTTTTGTAATTTTTCTTTAATTCTATATGATTTCTATATTTTGTGCTCATTAAAGATCCAGTGGCATCGTTCGTGAGTTCAGCAGTTTTGGCCCTAGTGTCCTGCCTATACTCAGTTGGTGAAGTGAGATCTCTACCTGATCTGCTGTGTAGTGAGGCTGCTGGCACTGTGTGCACTGCGTGATCTTTATCCCTCTGACTGGGGCACCAACGGGACTTGTTGGGAGATGGAGAATGAGGGCAGCCCTAACCAGTAACTTCTGATCTCACGGATTTCAGCCCTGCCATGATAACCTCTCTCAGCCATATCTGACCAGGCTCTCCTGGTCACCTGCTGCTATCTAGGGGCTACTGACCACCTAGACATGGGGCATAGATGTGACTGAGTCCAGCATTGCAAAGTCAAGGTTTGATTTCTCCATTACAGTGTGACAAAATGTAATATCCTTTCAGTTGTTTCTGCTTAATGCAGGCATGGATGAAGGCTGTGTCCTGTCCAGTCAGTTTAACTGGGCGCTGTCCTTTGAATGAGATGTAAAACTGGGGTCCTTACTCTCACTGGACATGGAAAATCCCAGGGCATTCCTCAAAAAGAATAGGGGTGTAACTATCATCCTGGCCAAATTTCCCAGTGGCCTTCATGTACTGTATGAATCACATCTTCCTAATGATCACCATCTATGATCTGGCTTCATCACTCTGCTCTCCTCCCCACTGAGAGCTGTTGTGTGGGGAGCGTTCTGGCGCACTATGGCTGCCGTCGCATCATCCAGGTGGGGGGGCTGCACATTGGTGGTGGTGGAGGGGGGTCCCCATTACCACTTTCAGTGGTGTGTCCAGAAGAGTGCTATATAAGTGTAAGGAATTATTATTATTCATTGAAGGCTGGCAAGACACTTTTGTTCCCCCCCCAAGCTACTGATTTCTCAGGGTGTGTGATTGGTACAGTGGTGGAGTCTGAGTCATGAAGATGTCCTCTGTCCTTGCTCCACAGCCAGAGCTGCGCTGCTGACAGGCCGGCTGCCCGTCAGGAACGGATTCTACACTACCAATGCACACGCCAGGAATGGTGAGCTTGGGCTCCTGCAGCCCACAGAAAGCATAGCGGGGCTTCGGTCATTTACTGTAGATCAGTGCAGTGAAACGGCCTGATGATAAATTTGGGTTACCTTGTGTATTTGTGGTGTTTGTTCAAAAGCAGTGAAGTTAAAAGGAGGTGGGACAGTGGTGGGTAGCATTTCTGCCTCATGGCTCTTGGGCCCTGGCTTCAATTCCAGACCTGCGGTGCTCTCTGCGTGGCGTTTGTATGTTCTCCCCGTGTTCACGTGGGTTTCCTCTGGGTGCATTGCTGTGTGTGTCCTGGCCCCCCATCAGGGGTATATCCTGACTTGCACCTGTTGCTTGCTGGGATAGGATCTGGCTCCCTCATGAGCCTGAATGTGATAAAGCAGTTAGAAAACAGATTGATAGTTGATGTTAAGAGTATCCTGGCTGGAGCACTGAGAATAATCCATTTATGTATATACTGTACTTAAGGATTGCTTTTGAGCCAAATAGAAGCATCAGCATCGAAGAGATATACTTCAAATGTGACTCTTGATGGTTGTTTTTTTCCGGTGTATCTCGTAGCTGTGTTGTAATGTAAGCACAATGCTTATTTTTCCTGATAAGTGTTCACTGTTGATTTGAGCTCAGAATTGAGGCAAAAACAATCTTTAGTTTGGTCTTTATTAAAGGCAATAGAAGCATTGCTACCATTTACATGTTACCATGTCACAGAGGTCATTGTTTTGTAGCATACACTCCCCAGGAGATAGTGGGTGGGATCAGCAAGGATGAGATCCTTATTCCAGAGATGCTGAGGAAGGCAGGCTATGTCAGTAAGATCGTCGGAAAGTGGTGAGCTGTGGTTTACATTTAATTTCTTTTACAAATCTTGATGTTTGCGATGTCTGAACAAGCAGAGCTCGGCTAAGAGTTTTCTTTCATTATACCATACCTCAACAGCTATTGGGTCAGAGTGATAACTGAACAGTTCCTTTTGAGTCAGAGTCATGATTCGGTGTTCAGGTATTACTTTAAAATCTTCATTCTGCAGGAATACCTAATTTGCTATCGAGTAAACGAACTAATGCATTTGCTAACTGATTGCAAATTCCTTGTTAATATGTAAACTTTGAAACACTGATCTCCTAATCGCACTGAATTCTGAGACATTCAAGAGATGTACGTGAATACAAAATTAATAGTACGAGCTTTGCAGCTGACATTTCAGTAATGATTTTTGTTTTGATTATTATGACTTTTGTGTCATATGTTTAAAATATTTTCCTATTCTTGTTGCTCATATACTGTATCGATTTGTTACTTTTTTACTTTTTCAGGCATCTAGGCCACAGGCCACAATACCTCCCCCTGGAGCATGGTTTTGATGAGTTTTTTGGGGCTCCAAACTGTCATGTTGGACCATACAACAAAACTTTCAGGCCCAATATCCCCGTGTACAACAACTCCCAGATGGTGGGGAGGTAGGTCTTGCTTATAAAACCAGACGGGGGGAAAAAAAGGAACTTGCACTAAAGTAAGCATTTCCAGGACAGTGTTCAGCTCTCTACTTCCCTGGATGAGAGCAGAGCTTTTGGTCTAGTCAGTACCAGCTGTGATTGTGTATTTTATTTCCCCTTATTTGCTTTCCCCAACCATCTGCGTGTTCAGGGTGACTGACGAAAGCAGGAAAGCCATTTCATGCTTAACCGTGAGTTTAATGACTGTACCTGAGCCTGATCTGACATACCCTGGAGACAGCAGGTGTCAGTTTCATGGTGGCACCTGGAACAGTGAGGTCTTGAGATCCTGTCTCGTACTTCTCTAACTGTACTCTCGGTTAAAAGAACAGAAAACCTCCCCTCCTTTCAGTTTTTGTTTCAGTGTAGCTGAGTCTGAGACCGGCTCCAGCCTTGCTGCATTGTGGGAGACAGATACTTTTTTGTAACCGAGACTTTAATATTTTAAAGAAAAGGAAAAGGACTCACATCCCTGTTTTCATTTCCTTTTCCCAGGTATTACGAGGACTTCAGGATAAATCGTGCGAGTGGAGAATCCAATCTTACACAACTCTATCTGGAGGTGAATGTGTGGTGTCCAGACGTAGTTTTCTGATTTCTAACATATTTGTGTGCCGAAGTGAGATTAAAGGAGGATATTGACTGTTTTTTTTTTTCTGTTCTCTGGTAGGAGACTGTGAAGTTCCTTCGTCGACAGGCTGCCTCTGGTGAGCGGTTCTTCTTGTATTGGGCTGTGGATGCCACTCATACTCCAGTGTATGCCTCAAAACGTTTCCAGGGAAAAAGCCAGAGGGGTCTGTAAGTTGCAGAGTCAATTTTTGGAACACCTACTGTTTGATAATGTTGACTTGCGACTTGGCTATGAAACACTTCAGGATCTGTTGTCACTTACAGATTTATTATTGTACATGTAGTGTTAATCACAAGAACCTAGATGAAGATGAGAAATCCACTCATATTCTATATGATCTCCTTTTCTTTCTTTCTTTTCTACCCGAAAAAATAAAACCTAGGAATGGAATTACTTCTTTACCCAAAAGACTGTGGGAGTACAGAACAAGCTACCCAGTCACGTGCTGGAAGCAGATATGTTGGCTTTATTAAAATACTCGAATGCATAAGATCCTTGATTCAATTAACTATTTTGTAACCTGTCATATGTTGTTATGTCATAGGTTTTCTCATTTACATCATCATGTATTGAGAAGAAGCCTTAAAAATGTAATTCTTCAAATTGTTTTGCTTGTGACATTTTAAAATAATTTTGTGCTATTTTTCAAAACATTCAGAAATGGTTTCACAAAGCCAGATGAGCACTGGAGCTACGGACACTTAAATTAACTGCAGGTAGTTCAATATTAGTGTAGTTTAAGGTTTGGGAAGCTTCTGCTCAGTGTTCAAGTGGGTTTGGAATTTATCATCAGCATTGTATGGTAGTTTTGTTTTACTCTAGCATAATGAAGTCCTTAAACATTTATTATTTCTTGCTTGTGATAACTCTGGTCTCCATATTAAAGCTGCAATTATAAAGATGCACCTCCCTTGTATAGCAGTACAATATAGTCAATAGGATCAGTGGTTATATATATGAAGTGTGCTTTAGACTGCTAATGTTCAGTAAGTCTGGTATCAAGTCAGATGATATACAATGTTTATAGCATCTAAGAGTTATTTACAAACTAGTACATTTATATATTTTTTTATTTTCCTTTATGAATTGTGATCTAAGACAACTAACTTGTGGTAATTTCATTTTTTTTCTACTAAAAATTAGTTTTATAATCTATAGGCAGTGTGCAGGTCTTTTAATGTAAGTGTAATGCTTAAAAACTATAGTGTTGCTGGTGCAGAATGACTGCTGTGAACCAGGCAGGTGGGTGGTGCCCTTCAATAATGGATAAAGTGCGTCCTATTTACAGTATACGTAAAGTGCTTTGGGATACTCTAAATTAAAGCCAAGTAATTCATTCCTTAAAATTAAATTTTATTTTTTAAAATTTAATTTTTAAACCGATTTGCCAAAAGATTTGTATATTTGTGATAGCCCTTCTGGTAGGTAGAATAGTGTTTATTGAGCAGTTTTGTATTACCAGTACCAAGGGGAAACAGAAATTACACATGAAGCAGAAAGGAAGTCTATATTCTCAGAGTTAAGAGTCTGAGAATTCTAGTTAAGGAATGTTCATAATTTTGTTTTAAGGACTCAAAATGTTAGCTAATTATACCACAAATTTAATATTCTTGGCATAGTCTTCAATTTTAGGTGGCAGGGAAACAATTGAAGTCTCCCCTAGTTTGATCATTATTGTGTTCTTTGCATTCATGTTCAGAAGTCAGTCTCACTAACTAGACATTCTTCTGAATACAAAATTAGATACCTGATGACAGAACATTATTTCATAGTGAAATACCTATTATTCAAATGTTCGGAATGTAAAGAGCACAGGAATAGAGGGATTTTATAGTGTGGTATGTGGGAATTATAAATATTTCAAGGATATTTTATAGTCAGTAACAAATATCAAAGCATAAATTTGACTTGTATTAATGTGTTCTTGAATTTTTTGGATCCAGGATCATTGTTTTTTCAATATCGGTGGCTTCTGTAAGTCTGAGTGAGAAAGGAGAGAGGTGGCCAGGCTGCGGTCTCTCCCAGTGGGGTGCAGAGCTGTGGGTGAGGAGTGCTGTGTGTTGCGCAGGTACGGAGATGCAGTGATGGAGCTGGATGACAGCGTGGGCGTCATCCTGAAGGAGCTCAAGACGCTGGGAATCGCCGAGAACACCTTTGTGTTCTTCACCTCGGATAACGGAGCCGCTCTGACCTCTGGCATCCAAGGTAACCTGAGACCCCCTTCTTTCAGGAGCTGCAGGGATGAGGGTCTGCAGACTGACTCTCGTACACCTGGTGTGTTGCCACTGTTGCTTTTGGGCTTCTATAGGCATTTACCTGCAAGAATTCATTTAATTGAACTGACTGTTTGGCACACAAGAAATAGGGAAGACTGTTCTGCCCATCTACAGTAGGTGGCTTATATGGCTGAAAGGAGATGGAGGCTTGGCTTCACCAGCGTGGCTGGTCAGTACGTTCCTTCTTGTGGTCTCCGGAGCAGGAGAAACCAGTTCATGGAGAACAGTTACACCACAAAAAGCATGTGTTGCTTGTTTAGAGAGGCTGTAGATTCATAAGTAGCCACTCAGAGATTAATGGCTCTAGATCTGGGATGTGCTGATTCTGACGTGTTTCTGTATTTTTCCAAGCTGGCAGCAATGGCCCTTTTCTCTGTGGCAAAGAGACAACATTTGAAGGGGGAATGAGAGAACCAGGGATTGCGTGGTGGCCAGGACACATAAAAGCTGGACAGGTGATGAAACGTCTTCTCTTTATTTATTTTCAGTTGTTTCTGTTGTGGTGGTGACTGACTGACCACAATGGCGATGTGGCCTGAAAGGGTAAATCCCTAAATTCTGAGACTACGTCCGCCACATGCTTTTCCATGGTTTAAGAATCTTCATCATGATGACAAACTATTGCACACTTCCTGCCCTTACAGAACACTTTAACGTCTGCACATTTTCTTTACCTTAAGCCTTGTGCATGGAGAAGTTGTGTTCAAACTTAGTGGGAGTGGGCTATTTGATTGTGCGACTGTCAGCACTGCAGTACCCCTTTGGCATCCCTTTCCAGTGCCTTTTTTTAATTGTCACAGTTCTGCAGAATACACCATCGAATTGTGCAGTTGGCCTTTTGGCTAAGCTTATCTACAGGTGCGTTCTTTTCCCTTGTATATATTCTAACAAGGGGTAACATGTGGAATGTGTATGTTAATGACATAGCTTTGATGCAATCATAAAGTGGTTCTTGTAGAGTGAAGTCATGTAAAGCACAGCGTACCCAGATAATCATGTCCTGGGTGCCTTTTTTGTATGTGTGCTCTTTTGGAACACTTTCTTGTAGTGAGGTTAGTTCCCCCACCCCCACCCCCCCTTTTTCCTCTTCTGTTGGCCTGTACAAAATATTTTTCTGATCCGTTAAACCAGCGTGTGTTCTGCAAATGATTTTTAATTGTGTTATCGGCGGCTCTGACACCAGGCTGCGCTGCAGGAGGATTTTCGAGCCGCGAGGCTGGGGGTGAATTAAGCTCTGCCCCAGGCTGCTATCTTTCGGGTGTGTGCTGTGCTGATAGTGCTACAGAATGGCACGGGGAAGGGGGGATTGCTGAAGTCTTAGGCGGCTAATCTGTTTGTGTGTTTGCAGAGCTTGGATAGAGCTGTAATGAGGGCTGCTGTATCTGAATACACCAGGCACATGGAATAATAACAAGGGGATGTGCTCTCTAAATACTGACAGTGGTATTGAGCCTCCAGGTTTTGGCTGCCATCATTAACCAGCCTGGGCTGTGCCATCCATATTTCTTCTACCACGTGAGCCCTTTGTGGGAGCAAGCAAGGCAGCATAAATGAAGTCTGTACTGTGAACTGTGGCTATTCTAGTGCAGTTAACACAGAACTGTTTAGATCTGTTGGCTACTTGGTTTTGTTCTATCAAGGCTTCCCTCCCTTTTTCTATTGCCTTTTCCCCGTTTTTAAAAGACCTTTTCTGGTTTTGGAGACGTTTAGATCTGGACATCTGAAGGTCCTCTGAGTTCAAGTCAAGAGGCAATGTCGAAATGCGTTTTTCCTGATCTTTCTATCCTGCTGCCTTAAAGGGTGACCAACAAAACCTGATCTTGAGTCGATAAAGAACATTTCATGGTGAGGAAAGATCTTTAGGCATTCATGGTAAAATCTGGGCAAGCTAAATATCACAGGCCGAAGGCGAGGCAGCTCTGAGCTGTTCTGCACCAGCTCTGACTGCAATCCAAATGTGCAACAGGGTGGATTCTCTGCATTTATCTCAGTGTGAATGAGGGTAATAGGTTTTGAGTCACCTAATTGAACATAAGCGATACTGTTTTGAAATTGGTGTTTTTATTGATTCTATTTTATTTAGCCCACAACTGACGCCATGACTCAGGGGTTTATGTGGAAAAGCAAGCATTCACATTAACTTCTTCTGCAGGAGTCCTTTCAGTTAAAATTGTCCAAACAAAGGCTTTAAAAACGAACATTTTCTGAGTTCAGTGAACATCTGAAAAGGTTACCGAAGAATAGGAGCGCTGTTTGCATTGCCCTGGCAGCAGAAAGGCTACAGAGGGGCAGAAGAGCTATCACTGAAAGGCTGCCTTCGCAGTCCCTTTTGTTGTGTTTATCTGCTGAGAGACACAGAGCTCAAGTGAATTAGACAGGGATAGCAGGTCTGTGCCTTGTGATAACTCCCACAAGGGGTTATTAAAGAAAGAAAGAGCGACGGGGAGAGAAAAAAAAGAAAAGGAGAGGGAAAAAAATTAAATTAGAAACTTTTTTAAAGGCATCCTGACATTTGTTCTTGCGGTTTAAAACATTTTGACTTTTTTTTTTTCAAATTATTTTCGTTTGGGGATAAGGGCTTGGTAGTGGCTGGTAGTCAGCTTTATTAATTGTCCTCTTTGATTTCTGCGTTTTTTTTTATTATTAAAGCCGGAAAGTGCAGATAATGGAATGTGTTTCTGGGGCCCTTTCTTACTTTTGCAATGGCTGGAGGAGAAGAGAATTCATTCTCGTCAGGCCGGCAGTGTGCGCGGCGCCGATAGAAGCGTGGCGGCGCGTGGCGGCAGCAGCTGCGGAGCGCAGATAGCGCTATCTGATTGTGAGCGCGCCGCTTCTCTCAAAGGACCGCTCAGGAGAGAATGGAATGAAAGATCAAGGATGACAGCGAAAAAATGGCATTTTATCTGAAAATAGTTCAAAGTTTATAAATAAAATAAAGCTTTTCGCGAGGCTGGGAAACCGAGATAAAACCCCAACTACAGCTCCAGTCCCATTTCTTTTTTTTCTAATTTACAGAGACGTTTGTGTGGTTTATAATAAACCTGCGAGCGCAGATTATAGAGAAGACTGAGTAAAAGCATAATCAAGACACAGAGCCCCCCGAAAAAAGGAATCCTTTTGTGCGAGCGTGTTTTAAAGTTGCTGTATTCTGCTGTCGTGTTGAATTTCACGCTAGGGGTGGGCATTCTTGGTGCCTTGCTACTACAGTATATCAGTGTTTACCTGCCTGTGTACAGCCTGATGTGAGTCAGATTTTGTTTGACTTTTTAGAGTGATTGAACTTGAAGAGGCTGGATCTATATCGGGTTTTTTAGTTTAGCAAAATTTAGATTGAAAAATATACACTGAGTTGTAATGCTTTTTTTTTTTTTAAAAATAGACCACATAGATTTTACTACTGCCTTTATGACATCCAGGATAACACATTAAACAGAATTTAAATTATATTCTACAGTATCTTGTGCACATGATTTTGTTAATTATTATCTCATATCTATGGGACCACATACTTCTAACAATGTGGGACACGTACAATTAATTTGTAGAGTAACAAACAGTACTTCTGTTGTAGGTGAGCTACCAGCTGGCGAATGTGATGGATCTCTTCACCACCAGCCTGTCACTGGCAGGACTCCCTGTCCCCAATGACAGGGCTATCGATGGCCTGGACCTGACCCCTGTCCTCCTGAACAACACTATCATTGACAGGTAATGTTGAACCCCTCACAGCTGGGCATGTTGCCATCTGTATGGGGCTGGGCCGTTGAGCAGTCTGATCTGAGATTCTTCTCATGAAGCTCAGTGGGATCACTGTCGTCAGATTCATATGGGTAGTGGACAACAAAATGGAAACGCCTGGGTAAATGAGGGACAGTTGGTATACTGGAAGGAAGGGCTTCCACACAGGTGTGGCTGATGTGTTAATGAAGCCAGTAACATCCCAGCATGCTTAGGGCTATGTATATAAATGCTGAACAGGTCTTGTTGCCTGTGATTATGGAAGAGGAGACCTACATGACTTTAAAAGAAGGGTGACTGTTGGGGCGTTTTCTTCAGGAGCTGCAGTGACCAAGACAGTTCAGTGTGCTGATGTTTCACTGCTCAGCCAGGGGCAGCAGTGGGCGGAAGCGTATACTCCCGTATCGTGGCATTCTAGCAATAACTTGAACTGCAAGGCAATACGGACAAGCAGCTGCAGATTAATCAACTCCTCACTTCAGCCAGTGCTGTGAGTGGCCTGTTTAAGTAAAAAACGGACCACTGAGAACTCCTCGGAGCAGGGTACAAGTCTACAAACTGCTCATCACACGTGCCAATGCACATTTGTGAGTCCAGTGGTGCAAAGAGCACGAACTGTTGACCACTAAGCAGTGGAGAAATGCAATGTGATCAGTTGAGTCACCCTTTGCCATATTCTTAACATCACCAGTCTAAAGACCTTTTCGGTCCCAAGTGCTTGGTTAAGGATTCTGGTGTTTCCACAGGGGAGTGAGGCGCATTTTCCTGGTTTGGGTGCACAAGACAAGGTCAATGCTAATCTCTACTAAATGGTACCAAGTGATCATCTTCACCCCAGGTTGCAGCATTTCCTTTCTGCAGGGAGGGGGTGTGTTACAGGATGACGAAGCCCTGATCCCCAGAGCTCACGGGGTCGCCCAGTGGTTTGATCAACATGAATCAGATGTTATCCATGTGTCATGGTCTTCTCAGTCACCAGATCTGGGCCCAGCTGGGCACTTGTGGGAGATTCCGAAATGACGACTTAAGTGTTTTTCACCCATCATCAACCTGAGCTGATTGATGGTGTTGCAGGTCCCTCCTGCAGAATTCCAGACGCTGCTCGAGTCTATGCTACAGTGCAGACAGGTCGTACTGGCTGCATGTGATGACCCGACACCCTATGAAGTGACTGTACACTAGCGTTTCCATTTTGTGGTCCACTTTCTGTATCTCTCCTGCAAACAAGCATCCTTTAAAGAGGAGATTCTTTGGAATTTGTGTTGTATATGAAAACCCATTGCCAGCCTTACATTTTCAAATACGGAATGTGTGTCGATTGGTTTTGAATTGGCTGAAAGACACTTTTTAAACTGTGTGCCTCGGTAGTTCCCTGAATGTTCACAAAATGGCAAGTGGGTCTCCTTCCTGGGAGGTGCTGACAGGGAGCCCACTGTCAAAGACCACCCCTGAAGATAAGGTGTTCTGCTGAGCATGTAATGGGATGAAGCAGGAAATCCTGGTCAGGCTTATTGTCAGAAAAGCAGAGTCTCCTTATCTGTGGAATTCAGCCATCAATCCCATTTCACACGCAACAGGCCAATCTTCTTCTACCGTGGCAATGAGATGATGGCAGTGAGGGTGGGGCTGTACAAGGCACACTACTGGACGTGGACCAACTCCTGGGAGGAGTTTAAACAGGTAAGGCTGACTGTCAGAATGACAAGGGCTCTCGCTGGGAGCTAATGTTCTCTGTGTCAAACCCGGCGAAAATGGGCTTTTATGGATTCTGCTGACAGAAAATAGATTTTATCAGCACTTCATTAGGAATCCCTAGAGTGGGATGGACGTTGGCGAATTAGTATTTAAAAAGCGTGGTTGGGAAATAAAGCTCAGCCAATTTAGTTCTGCTGAGTAAGAGAAAAATCTGAGAAAGATTAGTTCTTAATAACTAAAGAAAAGTGAAGAAAAAGAAAAAAAAATGATCTTGGAAAGTAATTGATAAAACTGCTCTTTCAGAACTCTTGCTCTCTTTTCCGTTTTCAAGACCTGGTTTAATAGAAGGTTTCCTGCAAATGAGCCCTGGTTCACAAGATCCCACCTTAAAGTACATATACAGCTACTGTCTGAGCTTTCAGAATAAAAGGTGATGCCTTTCTTTTCCAAACGTGGGACTGTGTTTTATGCCCCATCGGCTGCTTAAATTGCTCTCTCCTGGAGGGCTCCTGAATCAATACTGGGCTTCTTTATCAGCCCATGTGAACTGGAGTGGAACTTCACAAATAATGACGTTTGATTGCCTCTGAGTTACCTATCGATTGGCTCTGTGCTAGATGGTTTGAAAGAGGCTTTTAGAAATGGAGGGGGGAACGTCTAAGCTCTTGACTCCAGCCTTTCCAGACGGTTAACACATTAGAGGTCGATCAGTCCTCAGGCCTGGAGAAAAGCAGGGGGTTATTCATTTTCTGCACCTCACCTCTCACCCTTTTGTTCTGACCCCTTATAATGTCACTTAGAAATACCGTGTTGGCAGTTGAATTCTTTTATGTGAACAATGGAAAATAGTACTGGATTGCAAATCTTAGATTGATCCTAAAATATGAATGCCCTTCCGAGAACATCCAGGCTGTATCTTTTTCTCAACAAGGGAAGCAGTGGTTGTGAATTTTTGTTTGGTTTTGAAAAGACAACCAATGTGATTCAGTGATCTGTAAAATTAGAAATTTCATGCCGATAAATGTTTTGCATCAAACAGCCATGTCATCGTAATACTCACTCGGACTGTCTCCAAATACTCTGAAATAATTCAGCCGCAGAGTGATTGCCCGCCAATCTGTATCTTTCTTTTTGAGCATTGAAACGTTTTACCCGGCCCGTTAAGCACAAAATGGTGTCCCGATTAGCATTTGGTTTGTTTAGTTTGTAAAAACAAATATCCAAAAGCACCGCTGTGAGTGGAGTGGTAGTCCAGATCATCCAGAGATGAAACTAATTCATTTCTAGTTTTCTAGCTAGTTTCTAAATTGGTTTTGGCATCATCATCATCATCAGTGTTTATTGAATCTCAAATGACTGAGACTGTCCAGAAACATTCATTTTTGGCTGTCTTCCATCTGGACATTTATAAATCAGTTCACAAGTGCTTTAATTATTCTGTAATGTAGAAAGTAAGAGTCATGTTAATCAGCAAAGTACAGATATTCACTGCTTGTACAGTTTAGTCGACAATTAGAAATTATATCCATAAACAGTTTTCTTAGTTCTTTTCACTTTGCCATTTTAAGAAACCAATCCCATACCATTGGAACTTTATTATTTATGGGTTCTGGTGCATACAATCTTGTACAAATATTTAATTGACCTCTGCTCATTCTTTCTGTATCGGAGGGAATTAGCACAGAAATCTACCCAGCAATCTGATGGGATCAAGGTGTTTTGCACATCCACAACAAGAGCAAAAATGGATGTGGAAAGGCTTTGCATATTAGCACAACTCTGAAGAGCACGCTAAGTGTTTTCTTATTGAGCGTGTTTGAGTTTAGCGGCTATAATCTGTAGGCAAGCATTTGCTCAAAGGTTCCAGATTATCCTTTATGAGCTATCTGTCCCAGAGGAGGAGATGAGTGCCCTGCAGATGAGTGCTCAGTTAATATTTGCTGTGTTCTCCCGCAAGGACACCCTGATGATAGCTGGAGTTTAATCAGCCTCTCTGATCAAAGCTCCTCGCCAGCCCGGGGGGATGGGAGACTGGGGACTAGACTCTTAGCAGAGGGGCTGTGGTGCATGCAGGAGACAAAGCAGAGGGGGGCGCCAGATGTAACAGCTGGGTAGGTCCAGGTGTCAGGGGGCATCCTGCAGCGATGGAGAGTGTGGTTCAGGCTAGCAATAGAAGAAGAAGTGAGAGGGATCATTTCAAAACTCAGTCACCCCCATACTAAGACATTTTGGTGAAATCCTAAATATTAAGTGAATTGGTATAAATCATGCGATGGATTTATATATTTTTCAGCCGCTGGAGTACTGTTCAGCATAAACAACAGCAAGCAATTTCTGTTCTTTATCCATGATCTCATTAGAAAAGGGACTTATTTTCTCATTTCTGGAGAAATGTAATTTTTAATAAAAGGTGACATTGTACATTAAATCCACTCAAAGGATTTATAATTGTACGTTACATTTATATATAGTCTATATTTTCTGTAATCTTTGTATCTCGACTAATCCTTGGTGCTCTGTGGAGTGTGTTTTGTAATGTGGGTGTCCTGGGCTGTACAGCACCATGGCTAGTCTCCTGGAGCAGAGGTCTCTGTACTTCACACAGGGTGTTAACTTCTGTCCCGGGGAGGATGTGGCTGGAGTGACCACTCACACCCAAGAAGAACACACCATGCAGCCACTGATCTTCCACCTGGGGCGGGATCCTGGAGAGAAATACCCCATCAGGTGAGAGAAACCAGGGTGAACACATTTCTTTTTTTAAAAAATCAGGCACTGTACTGAGATTACCAGCAACCCGCTTTCAGCTACTCAAAGTAGATGAGCTACTATCGGAGCTTTTAACACGGTTTGTTAACTGAGCTGTAAATGGGAAGGTGACACTGCTCTTAAAACCATGTATAATGCAAAAATTAAAAAGAGGGCAAAGTAATCAATGATATAGTATTATGTTTTGACTAGTAGTGCCTTTGATTTACAGTGATCTCTAGAGAATGTGGTTACTTCTCTTTGTGTACTGAACACAATGACGATAGTCTAGCTTTCCAGTACAAAGCGAGGAATCACCTCTGTCTGTATATTGGTCTACTGCAGCAGGATTAACTAAATTCCCAGCCTAACGTAATAATCAGAAAGCACCGTGCCAGCTCGACACAAGTCATTGATTTACGAGGCTGTCTTTCTTTTTAAGAAAAGAGATGCGCCTCAAACGTGTAGCTCCGAAGTGTGGTTGGAGGAATCTATGAGATCAATACCGATCTACGTCAATGTAAGAGCTCCGCTGAGGAGCCAGCATCGATTCGTGCAATAAGAGCCAAGCTGATTAAATGCTGCTCAGTGTGACAGATTTGAAAGATCACTTCTGCTTGAGACTAAGCACCGTAAGTGAGGAACGTGAGATAAATCAAGCCGTGTGTGTCCAAAAGGAAACCAAATTTGATGTTGGTACAAGCGTCATTAAATAAATATATTGACTATATTCTTTCTTCCCATCCCTGAAACTAGAACAACCTGTTCTCTCCAAATTTAGACATGAAAAATGGCAGTAGTAGCAAAACAGTTTCCTTTAACGAATATTCAGATATTTCTATGGATAATACAGTTTGGTAAACTGCCATTTGCAAGGATTATTTATAGGATATTGATCAGTATTTCAACACAAGGTAGGATCCAGTAGAATTGACTACACTTGAATATAGCTTTTCTTAGCTACATGGAAATTTTTTCTTTAGATCTCATTTATAGGTAAAGCATGGTTTGAGACAAACTTCATTAATTAAAAAGTTGGTGTTTTTCATTAGGAAAAGTTATACCAACTACTTGTGTTGTACCCACCCAATCTGGAATAACATATTGGAATTACATTGTGGCTCACTGACATGTCCCATGAGCCCACATGGCGAGAGATATTGCTTGACACACAGCAAGCCCTACAGTGACATACAGGATATTCAGTACTGATTGCTGATGCCACTATGAGTTAGCCAGCACCCAGGAACATCTGACAGGTGAGTAATGAGTAATCCCATGTTAGCCATGGGTTATTTGGTGGCAACATTGAAAATCTGACCTGTAAGCATTTACAATACCAAAGCACAGGCGTGTTGTAAATACTTGAGACCTGCCTTGTGTGCTGCATTTATTATCCCAAAAGCACAAGATGGGGGGGAAAAATTAAAACTTTTGTTAAAAACCTTTTTACAGGGCTACACCAACACTCCAGCGTTGCACAATCAATCAATCTCCTTCCTCTGTGTAAAGAAAGGCAAAGGAAAATCAAAGTGTTTGTGGATGCTGGTATTTTTAAACATCCCAACTCTCTCTCCTCTCTAATTTGCTAAATCTTTTTGTTTTGTGGGGGGCAGAGTATTCCATGACCCAAGTCCCCAAAGGGTGGGCAGAGGTATAGGTATCTTTGTGGGCCACAGTACTTCAAGTCAGTTGTCACATCTCTACCTCAGATCATTTACTAGGGCCTAGTGTGTTTTCCATTAGCCTGCCTGCTGTCGTGTTGCTCTCTCTCAGCTCCTTAAGGGGTACAGGGCGCAGAGCTGGGCTGGGGGGTGTGGGAGTCATTACTCACTGTCTTCTTTTAAAGAGGTACTTTAGATGATCTAATGCCTGCTGCCCACATAGCTTTGGTTATGAGGCAGTCTGTCTCTCATCGCGGTCAATGAGATGCTGTAGTCAGATCCAGAAACCCGCTTGTTTCTTGTGGGTGCAATTCTGAGACACTAATCATATAATATACAATATAGTTACATTTTTCACCTTGTATTTTCTTTGTATATAATGACTACATTTATGTTATGTGTACATACAATGTCCCAGAGCAGCACTGCATTTTCTGATCACCCTAAAGCTATTATTTTTTTGTTAATTGCAACAATGTGATTATCAGATGTTAAATAATAGATATTTAAGGGAGCAAATTACCAATGCATTCTGTGCAAAAATTAGGCAGAGATTTTTAAAGATACTTATCATTGGCCCGATAGTAGGGAAACATTAGGATGAATGTTTTTATTGATGATTCATTCTAAATAATTTGACTTAAATTACATTTGTTCCCATTTACACCTCTGGCACCTCTACTGAAGCACCAGTACACGTGCTCCTGAGAGCTGCAGTAGTGCTTGCATGGTATTTGAATCCACAACCTTACAGTGAAGAGTCCAGAGCCCTAACCACACCTCCACATTGCTGTATATTGGAACTGTTCTCCGATTTTGTGTGTAGTAAACCATTTCACTATACAGATACTTCTTTTTATAAGAGTGCATTTGATCTCAATACATGCTAGGTTATTTTTGTTTCTAGCCGAAACTACAGTTCTAGTTTTTCTAGGGGGAGAAGGGTTTTGAAAAAGTTCAACACTGCGCAGATATTGCCCAGTCAGCGGGCCAGATCTTGACAGGCTAGTGTCTCGGTACAGTCGGCGCTCAAGTCCCACTCAGCCTCCAGCGACTGCAGCAGCCCGCGCTGCATCCACGAGCCTCATCTGCTCTCCACAAGCACTTCAGCTTGCAATCAATAGCCTGTGCTGAATTGCTCAATTTCCCCAGGAAAGAGGAGAGAGAAAGGGCAGAGGTATTTGATTGTCTCTTCAGCTCCATTCCCCCTGCCAGTAAACCATGTGTTTGTCTGCATGTGTGCATGAGAGTGTGTGCATTGTACCGGTGGGGGGTATGAATGACTAATCAGTGCAGCCATACACCTGAGCTGTGCCCCTTTCCCCTTGGGGGTTATGTATTATAAATCAAAAGATCTCATTTACATTTATTTTCCATTATTATTTCCATATTTGCATTTTTCGAGACTTGGCTAGGATTGTATTGAAACTATGCTGACTGAGGAGTTTTAAGAAAGGAGGAAAAGAAATGAACATATTCATTTGTATTAGTAATCCTACAGTAAATTATGAAAGTCTGAGCTGGTGTGGGGTATTTACCCTTGAATTGATTTGCACACAACATTTTTTTTGTTAATCTAAAGGCAAGATGCTGTCAAAGTGGATTCAAGAAGATTTGCATACTTTAGCACTAATTTACTTGTGTCCTGTTCAAGTCATTCTGAAAACCGATTACTTGGATTTATACTTTTCTTGCAAATCCTGGCACAGAGATAATGCTTGGCCTCTTGCTTTCTTAAGACCACTTTCCGATGCTTATCATATTGTTTATCTTGGCCGAGGGATTAACGGGAGACGGTTGTGTTGATAAAACAATGAGCTTTTCACATCAGTTGTTTTGAGTTTTGCTCATTGTTCTACGTGTTACGCTCCTTAAGATAACCCAATATCTTATTAATAGTTTTGCTGTTTTTTCTTTTTTTACCAAGATATTTAATTGATTGAATGTTTCATTATTTGCTTATTCTGGCAGATTACATAAATTATTCCTAGTCAAATAGTTTTTATTTATTTTAAATATATATATGCAATTATATATACTGTATATAGGCACAAAATGGACAGTTGTTACCCAAGCAAACATACTTCACCAGACTGGACTTGATCCCAACATTAAGAACGTAGAACTTAGCACTGTATCTGGACAGCGAATTGTTAAACCACAAAGAGGAGAAGAGATCAATGGAAGAACAGTGTGCCGGGGGAGTCAGCGGATGAGAGGAGTGTGTTAGCAGGTGTTATTGTGTGGCGTAAGCGGAATGGCTCTCTGGGGTAATGGGGTGCGTTTGTGGCTGAGGTGGGGAGGTGCGAGGTGGACAGGGCCTGGGGGTCATTACACTAATTGACACTTCACCTCGCACACATGCACCCCCTTCCCGGGGGACCAATCAGGGCGCGGAGAAGAGCGAGAGGGGCGTGTGTGACTGGGGGTGCGGGGATGTAGGCACAGGTGCTGCTCGCTCCTGTGTTGAGTGCAGTAATTGCACTGGGGAGATTTCTCGGCGTGCTCCCCCACCCTACAGGTCCTATCGAGAGTGACGCTCCACTGGAACACACAGCAGCTCTGCGTTTTACAGAGTAAATCTAACAAAGCTCAGGGGTACTTGCTAGCGGCTTTACAAAAATAATTGAGTGCAGAGAGAGAACCACCAACACATCTGCTGCTGAGATCATAAGGGAGGTGCTTTTTATTTTGTATGGTTTTCTTTTAAGATGCATTCAATACACAATTAAAATGTATCATCCAGCTTGATCACTATATAACCCCACGCAATGCCCCCTTTTAAAGGAATTTTAGGAAATTGAGGCATGCACATGGACTGAGGATCTAAGAAATGCAGCATGACTCAAAATAAAGTCTTTACATTTTATTTGTAGGGAATATAAAAATAAAGTTTGAAGATATTCCATTATGGTGTACTGTACTTGGAGGTAGTAAATGACTATAGGGAAAGCTTTGTTCTAAAATTTTACAGTTTTTACTATAAGTGATAACCTGTTTGATCAGCAGACCTCTGTTCAACGTCCTCTTGAATGCTCACTTGGCCTCTAATGTCCAGGATTAGTTCTGTCTCCATGATGGTCAATATATGTCATGCAAACACATACTGTAACTTTGTACACTTGCTTACGTAAAATTTAAAGACTTTACTGGCACAGTATAACCATAAACAACAACTCTGAGACCCTATTTTTGATTGGATGAAATGCTCTGCTAACAAAATGTGTAAATTCCTTTTTTTTATCTCAAATCCTGCATTGACACAAGACTAGTGGAAATAACACTGTGATGTCTGAGTTAATCCTCTGTGTTTTTTATCTGTGTTTCTGGTCCTGCAGTGTCCAAAGCTTGGAGTACCAGAGGGTTTTAAAGCAGATCACTCCTCTGGTGGAGCAGCACAAAAACAGCCTGGTTCCCGGAGAGCCACAGCTCAACATGTGTGACCTGGCTGTCATGGTGAGGACCGTATCTCCTAGTCCTGTGTGTCTCATCATATCTGGGAGCTGACTGCCTAAAACACATCTGGGATATCTTTTACAACATCAGTGATACACAGTCCTGACATTGAGATTCCAGCACTACACTGAGAGCAAAGCGGACAGGGATAGGAGTCTGGATTTGAAGGGTTTTACAGCTAAAATATAAGTTACAAATGCATAAAAAGTGCCTTTTATTCTCAGTTTTTAGTGCGCTTCCACATAGATTCCACTCTTATTTTCTGGTTTTATGTCTCATTGTTGATTTTGAAAACTCATAATAATTTTATTTTCAAGGAATGGGTGCAATTTGGCTTTTTCTTTCATTTGGCAAAGATATGATTGAATTTCAAACTTAAGAACTGACAAAGTCAAACCCATCAGAATAATACGGACCATTAGTTCTGATGCTGAATCTCAGTTTGTTCCATGCAGAGCAGTTTCCCTATGGTAACAAGCTGCATAAACTGAGCTCAGTCAAAACAGAGTTAGACCGAATTCTTACTTTAGGTGTTTTCACTGTGAGGTTTGTTTTCTAGCATTTTGCTTAGGTTTTTCCTGTACATTTACTTGTATTTTCTGCACTGCTGAAAAATATGGACATCTTGAAATTTCTGAGATGGTAATCTGTGTTGCAAAAATTGTATTTGATGAACCGTGCCATCGTATGAGACGGGTTTCACAGGGGGGGGGGGTAACACTTTTTGATCGCATCATCAACATACAAAGCCACACCAGAAATAAATGAAAGTTACTGCTGTGTGACAACAGTGCCCCCAAGTGTCAGTATTTGATGAATCAAGGGGATTTTCTTGTTGCTTTTCAGATGACTAAATTTAAGAGAATCAGAACCCCCATTTTCCCCACTAATTTTATTTTTAAAGTTTTTGTTTGGTGGTAGAAAGTGCTTAATTCAAGTCATTTTGTGTCAAAATTAAAGCTTTGCAATGATGGTATATATTTGTGTACTTGAACACTGAAAGAAAGTTCACATCTGTAGCTGTTAAAATACAAGTATATGCATTTGACAGAGGAATACTCCTACAACTGTCTAAACCATCAGCCGTGTTACATACACAGAGGCCTGACCTTTACAAATCCACTTTGTCTCCTGACAGAACTGGGCTCCCCCGGGCTGTGAGAAGCTGGGCAGGTGCCTCACGCCCCCAGAGTCTGCCCCCTGGAAGTGTGAATGGCCACACTGACCCGCTCGTCCGGACCTCCGTGTCATGAACAGATGAAGACCATGTTCATGACCTCCTGAGCAATTGAAACTTCTGTACTGCTGTCATCATGGGCCCTTAGTACTGACGTTTCCTTCCGGCAGATTTTAAGGGAGAATGTCTGTTCTTAGGTGCCATGTAGTAACTTAAACTGTGAGTTTTCTCTCTCAAATGATTCCCCCATGAGCGTTGTTACTTTGTTAACTTGAATGCAGACATACTGTGTACGTCTAACAGCATCTTAAAATTTGTACTTAAAAGCAGTGGAGTGTGATGTACTCCCTCACACTGTGTGTCTGCCCAGAGAGTGGGTAAGAAGAGAAGTCCTACTGTTGGGGGTTCTTTTGGTTTGTTGTCTGTGTATCAGCTGTAATGTGGGGGGAAAAAAGGGATAAATTATCATTACTTCCCCATTTCACGTGAAGCATATTGATAGCACAAATATGGAGGCTGAGAGAAGTGAAAGATATGAAAGTTTTTAAACCAAACAAATATCTTGTTTGCTGAACTTGGTTTGGGAAAATGTTTACAAATTTACAAATCACATTCCTTTTAAGATGGTATCATATTGTGGGGTTTTATGGGCTGTTTTTGCTTGTGATGTTTTAAAAAGTTACAGTCATGTACAAAGAGTAAAGGACTGTATAAATGAAAGGAGGACAGACGTGCAGTTTTGAGCCGAAATTTGAAGTTAATGTGAATGAAGCGTCTCTTTGAGGAGTGGGACTGTTGTCTTAGATCACTACCGGAGTTCAAAGGGCTTATAACCCGTTCTTTGAAAAAAGCTAGTGGAGACAAACTTTCCACTTATTGAATCTAGATTCTTGGTGCGAGTAATAAATTCCCAGTACTTGATGGTGATTCGTTTTTTCCGACTTGTTCTTAATAACGTTTTTTGAATGTTGAATGTATTATTGAATACCAAACAGCATATTGTCGGTCCTGCCAATTTACTGTATTAATGATCGAGCTTTGATGTGCTTGGCTGTTTTGTTAATGTTTTATTTCCTGTGTTCTCTATAATGTCTCTTTGTTGGTATGTCTGCCCTTTGCAAATTCGAAAACCCAACAAGAACCGACAACTGCAGATGGACGGTAGCAAAATTTTAAAAATCTATTTTCTGCATGTTCGCAAGAGAAGCCGAGTTAAGTTGGGTGCACAGGACGGCAGCTGGTGTTTCGCTGCTAAACGGACATCCTGTTAATGGGCCAACCATTGTCATTTTCCCGGCAGTCCACAGCAAAATGTGGTAGATATACGTGGCAGGGAAACAACATAGGATTTATTTAGGATAGTAGTTAGAAATTAGCAAACGATTGCATGCGTGTAGTATGCCTTTTTCTTTGCCATTAACTAGGCCTGTTTTAACACAGTCACGGCATAGTTTAAGATGTGGAGAAAGGGCGTTTGGAAACCACTTTAACAACCGTATCTGTAATTTCAGCTTAAATTGTCCGATCATTGTCCGCTTATTACGCCATAGTTCCAAATTTGGCGCACAGGTGCGGTATTGCTGCAAAATGTTTTTTCCCCCAAAGCATTTTCCAAAACCGTGCATATTCATGCACGTAGCAGTACTTTTTCTGCTGAGAAGTTTCTATACGTAAGTTCATAACATTGTTAGAACTCACAGAATCTGCATTACGTTTGTCACACCGCCGCCCGGTAAATTACCGGATCTGCATTTTCTTTCAAATAAACGTGAACCAACTTTAAAATCACCTGGCGATTTTAAATGGCTATTTTTCTACTCATCTCCCACTCTACCAAAGCAATGTTACCCTGTGAAACTTGATTATATCAAAGATAAGAGTCGTTTTTCAATTCGAAACAGGTTTCCTAAGAAAATAAAGTGTCTAGGGAGAATAATGATTTTCTGAGCTTGAGAAGGGGACGGGCACAGGGGGCAGACAGAGACCTTCAGAGCAACGGAATTAAAAACATCGTCTACCAACCCCCCCGCTGTAAGATTTACCAAAAAGTAGTCAAGAACAAAGCCTGGAGGAGAGTCTGTCACATATATTGTCATATTTTAATAAGATGGAAACCATTAACTACCATAACGGTTAGGTAGACCAAATGGTCTTTTAGCGTTTGTAACTTTTTTTGGTTCCGCTGCACGTTTCTGTTAAAATCTATTGCATCAGTCTTTCCTCAGCACAGGAATTCTGCAACAGCAACATAAGACCTTGGCCTTGGAGAGGTGTAACGCACATTTCGTACCGCGTTGCCTTCCTTTTGCAATACTGTACCATGTACTGACTGTACAGCAAGCTGTAATATTAGTTTGCTAATTTCCTTTCTTGAGCAACGCTGTATGAAGTCAAAGAAACCGCTGACGCGCGGCTTCCGCAACAGCGCACGTGATCCTCCCCGGACGGCCAATGGCTGCTGGCTGTCCAAGTCAGCTGACACCGATGACGCAGCCCATTGGTTGGTGGGACCTGGGCTCCAGTAACTTCCCGCTTGGAGTTCATTAAGCGTGCACTGTAGCAAGTGGGCAACTGGCACGTCTGGAGCAATGGCAGGAGAAAACAGGGAAGAGAAACTGAAATACATCCGGGAAAAAATAAGACCCTTTCCCGACTTTCCGAGCAAGGGGATTATTTTCAGGTAACCTTCAAGCTTCTGTTTTTCACGATGAACATGTTTACGCGCTTCCAAGGTTAAATATTTTTTAGATATGTTCTACAGCTCGCATAGTGAATATTTTGTATCGGATACGGCTGCGGTGTGGCAGCACGCAGGTTATTCTAAAAATCTGCAGTAGCTGCTCTTTTCGATCTGTTACACGACTGCTCACCCTGTAGTGTCCGTTATCTCCTTAAAATCGTGAAACGCACAACAGCGCCGGCAGGATTCGGTGCAACTGGCATTATTGTGCAAGCACCAGTTCCCGTAAGATGTCCAGTGATCCATGCTTTCAGACACGCGTTAGTTATTGAAATATAATTTCGGAAATATTCGCATAAATTCAACCGAACTGTGATACGGTACTCCTACCTAAGTAGACCAAGTCTTTACGCATTGCGTATTATTAAAGCCTTTCTTTAAGTCGCATGAAGACTTAACTGCTGAAACGGCTTCTATTAGCCTTTTTATTTATCCGTTAAAGTCTGCTTTTTCAATAATTAACCTACACGCTGTCCACGATCTCGACACTAGAAGAGCGATTTCCCTGGAAACCATTGAAATTGTGTCTGTGCCTTATCTAATTGTTGCGTAATTATTTTTCTTGTACTTAATAACGGAACGGTTAAAGGCCCGTTGGCGTCCATGTTTCTGCAGTTTTCAGCCATATCGCTTAACAAGTGTATGGGCATGTTCTGCCATCCGTTGATGGATGTGTTGCTCACATAGATATTTAAGACAGGGAAGGAATCTCTGACGATGTTTGTAAACGTGCAGCGAAAACAACTTTTAAATGCCAGTTTATGATAAGCGCACTGTAAAACGACAACGTGGGATTACACTTATTGTTCCTCAGCTAGTGTAGTTTAACAGTTAAGTGCAAAGTGCTTCTTTTCCTTTTCTTCTCACTATAAAATAAAGTGTAGACAGTCGGTCCGCAGGCAGTGACAGAGAATACAGTGTGAACGAGTGGAGTACTTGTTGTGAGCCTTATAAAAGGGAAAACAAGCAAATGCATTAATAATAGAAGTCATTTTCTAGGCTTTATTGCACTACTTTTATCTGGATTCTTTACTATCCTCTACAGTTACAGATAGAAGAAGTAGAAGATTCTTAACAGAATAACTCTTAACAGAACTATCTTAAAAAGAAGGAAGACCATAACGGTTATAGAGTCATCTTCAGGTGTGGACTGAACTCTAAAACTATTGTTTTTTTTGCTCAGAGATATCTGCCCCATTTTGAAAGATCCAAAAGCCCTAAGCACAGTCATCGATTTGTTCGAGGAACATGTGAGGCAGACTTATCCTGATGTCGAATTGATTGTGGGTAAGTTGTTTTTAATTGCAGTTACTTATGTGGTTGTTTGCTTATTCATAAACTGTGGTTTTTCTCCATACGTGTGCTTATACGGGTCAGTGCCTTGAGCCACTAGAACGGAGGGGTACCTGGTGGGTGAAGGGACTGATTGATTGGCGTTGTCCTGCTGTCTAGGTCTGGATGCCCGTGGTTTCCTCTTTGGGCCTCTGCTGGCACAGAGGCTGGGGGTGGGCTTCATCCTGATCCGCAAGAAAGGCAAGCTGCCTGGTCCCACAGCGTCCGTGGGGTACACCCTGGAGTACGGAAAGGTGAGGCGATCGGAGGTGGGGGGGGGCCTTGCTAAACAATCTGTCCTTCTCCCCTCCTCTGTAGACAGATGTGCTGAAGGAGATCTGTCAGATTTCGGACTGATGACCTCCAGTGCCTTGGAGACAAAGGCTCTTGGGTTCACACTTAGTGAAGTGAGCCCTGTATCGGTGATCGGTGTGCCAGCTGTTGTTTTTCTTGGGTCTCTTCCCTTGTGTTTGCTATCGTTCACGCTGCGCTTCCTCTGAAGTCCCTTCTCTTTTGGTATCTGAGAAAAAAGTGAAGAACTTAACTTTTTCTTTGCTGTAACAAGCTGCCTATAAATACTGCCAGCTGCCCCTATTTATGTAGGTGCTTCCTTCTCCTCTCCTGTGCCTAGTGTTCCCCTGGGCACTGCAGAATAACACATTTGCTGGATGGCATTCTTCCAGACCTGTTATCATAATTCATTTGCTATTTGCAAGCCAAGCAAGTCCCCCAATCTTTTCATATTCAGGTTTAGAAAATGAACTGCCTCCCGTCTACAGTATTTGCCGAATGGAACCAACCCATCTCTTCCCGGTCTTTGCGGAATTCAGTGTGGCAGTCAAACTTTGACTCTCTGAACGGACTGAAGCTCCAGTGAGAACAGGCCCTTAGTTTCAGTCGCTGTCCCAAAGCGTGTTCTCTTTTAAAGACAAGGTGGTTATGAGGGTGTGGTTGCCCTGCTGCAGTAGCTAATGGTATCATGCTGTACCTTGATCTTTTCTCAGGCCGAAGCAGAGGTCCAGGAGGATGCGATTGAGCCAGGACAGAAGATTCTAATTATCGATGATTTGCTGGCAACTGGAGGTGAGGAGAATCTTGTTGTGGTTCGTCTTGGACACGGTAACAAACGACAGTATTGTACTAGTGTATTGGTGTGTGGATCTGGAGTGGATAGGGAAACAAGTAACATTTGAAATGTATTATTTTGTGCTTCTTATCGCCACTGGAGCATTTTCCACCAGCTGATTCAGCACCTGAGAAGTTGAAGAAATGCTTTATTTACCCCCTTTTTTAGAGCACAAATCCTAACATCAGATTACTTGCAGAGCTCCGAAGGTTTTCTGTTCATGTTTTAGATGAGCTCAGTGATCATCTTCCTTTCTGTTCCTTTTCAGGAACCCTGTATGCAGCCTGTGAGCTGATGAAGAAACAGAAAGCCCAGATCTTGGGGTGCTTGGTAGTGATCGAGTTAACGGACTTGAACGGAGCAGACCGCCTTAAACCAAGCCCACTGTTCTCTCTTGTGCACTTCTAGCATCCTTTAAACGTGTTCCTAAAAAAGTACACTCCGTTACACCTCTGTAACATCTCATGTAGGTTTGTAGTTAACTTGTTTTATACACTAATAATGGCAAACCCAGTATCTAAGAAGGAAAGCACTTCAAAGATCTTAACTGGATCAGTGTAGCCCCTTTTTTGTATTATGAAAACTATTTTTAATAAAGGACAAATAAAGGCTAATAAAGGTTATGTGTGCTGTATAAATATTTTTTTTAGATTGCACTTCTCCAAACACAGTAGACATTCCCTGAGAAGATACCCATGCTGCAGTCAATTATCAGCAGCAACAAAGGCAGGGGCAGTATGCAAATTTTGTATAGAAGTATTTTGAATAATGTGGATTCATGGTTGCATCTAACATGGAGGTGGTTAACTTAGTAACTGCCACTATTTGTTGTAGCCACACCCAATGAAGGTCTGAAAACAATTTTAAAACAAAGCATGAGTTCTCTCACTGTTTCCATCTGTTTCTCAAGGCAGTGCAGTGAATCATATTCATAGGAGTGAAGGAAAACCTTACATACCAGTGGGGATTTAACTGTGAGGCCATAAGAGAACTTAGAAAGTATTTGGTCACATTTTTTACTTTGGCAGTGAGCACATCCTGGCAGGATGTAAATGTTCAAAGAACTAGTTTAAATACTTTCTAGTCTAATAACTAGACTTCATTTGTTTTCTCAAATGATTAGCCATGCTTGAAAAAAATATGTATGGAGGCTGTACTGTAGTCTGCTGCAAATAGTTTGAACTCGCAGTGATCCTGCCTACAGTGATACCGTATGTCCCTCACTCTGCTGAGGTCTTCACTATAATCAGTGCTGAACACGTCCCCATACAACTGCAGAGAATCACACAGTGGAAATCTCATTTCTGCTGCCCAACAAAACGTTGGATGTGCTGAACTGTTCCTTTAAAGAACCCAATTTATAGATTTTCTTTTATCCGTTACAGTTTAACTGGTCTGTACTGGCATGACACTCATTGCCCTAGAGTATGGGTCTGTCTGGCCCACATTCTCTTACACTAGGGGAAGGGATGGTTTCAATTGCCAAGTACCATTTTTTACCATCCATCTGTTCTTTGACTATCAAAGGCTATTAAGTCATATGAATATTTATAATGGATAAATATCCTTTGAGACATGAGGTATATAAAAATGTAGGGGGAAGACAAATTGTAAATGGAATGCTTTATTGTTATTATTGTTATGGGCAAGTGATAATGAAACCCAGGCTTAATCTTTCAAATTAAATCAGTTAGTTTCACCTATCCTGAAACAGGTAAACCCAAATTAACTGCACATTGAACACTTTCAAACATGTAGTGTTGGAATCCTCAGATCCTTAGAAGTCGCACTCCCTCCCAAAAATAAAAACATTAAAACAGTCTTATCTAGCCTGCATCGCTCCACCCGGACTCGACGCACTTACAAAGGTTTAAAAACTAAAGAGTGCTTGTCCAGTGAAGACGACAACCAAGTCTTTATAAAAGAAAAAGATCCAAAAGGAAGCGGTTTAAAAACGACATCTTCCGTGTTCAAGTTTCAGACAGTTCAAAAAGTGACTCCAGTCATCCAGCTCCTCTAGGGGCTGAGGTTCAGCACCTCTCCTCGGCTTTGGCCTTCTGGCTCAGCTGCTCCAGCACCACATTCAGATCCATGTTCTTGTTCAGCTTCAGGTACAAGTCCTTCCTGACGGGGTGAATGGCCAGCCACTCGGGAGTCAGCTCGGACAGCAGTTTCAAATGCTTCTCCATCTCGCCTGAATTCAGATACAGAACATTTAATCAAAACTGGCATCACATTGAAGGAAAACTAGTATATCCCCCCCCCCATTATAAGAAGAGTTCACAAGTGTAATTCCAACCCGTCCAGTAACGAAGCAGCAAACAGAAGGCCGTGCAGTTAATGCATTGTAAGGCGGGTGCCCTGACAGCACGCATAAAAACGGCAGGCCGCGTACTGACCTGTGGTCATCAGCGAGCGGTGGCTAGCGATCACGCGGTTGCAGGCCAGCTCCATGATGAGCGCCGGCTTCTTCTCCGCCACGAAGACGTTGCGCAGGATCCTCGCCAGCTCCCCCAGCCGGGACATCATGAGCAGGCGCTCCTCCTGCTGGGGGTCGCGGGTCATCATGGCCTGAAGCTTCTGAGCCTCCTTTGCTCTGATCTGTGCCCAGTGAGGAGAGAGAGAGAAATAACTCTCCTTACATTGCTGGACACTCCACTCAAAAGCGCTTCACAGGAAATGGGGATTCCTCTCCACCTTTTTAAAACTGCAGACTGTGTAAAAAGAGTCCAACACGGTACTACATTAAAGTAAATAGCTCTCCCCGAGAGGCATCCAACTACAGAAAAGACAGACTGTTTTAGGCACCACTGAAAGGTGCAGGATTCGGTGATTATCTATAATGTAAGCCTGTCCATATTGAAGAAGACACACGCTCTCCAGCAGGGACTGGGACACCCCTCTGAGAGCGCTAGGAGTTATAATGTAAGCATGTGTCCATGTTGAAGAAGACATACCCTCTCCAGCAGGGACTGGGACACCCCTCTGAGAGCGCTAGGAGTAGCGGGCGCTGGCTTCGGGGAGGATTCCTGCTTGTCTGCGGCGCCCAAGCTCTCCGCGGTCTTCAGAGCCATGTTAGCCAGTGCCTTCTCCATCTGAAGAGGAGCACACGCGTGTGCAACACGACATGTCATTTCAAATGTCTGCCGTCCATTTCACTACAGACTACAGGAACCTCCACCTCAGGCTTTGGAAACACATTCTCTGTGCATCTACTCTGCAATCTAGTGGATTTATTCTTAAAATTAACTTTCGCAATGTGAGGCCCATAATACAGGTTTCTAATGTACATAAATTTACTTATTAATTCCTTACACTTATATAGCACTTTCCTAAACATGCCATAGGTAATGGAGACTCCCGTCCACTACCACCAAAGTGTAGCCCTATCTGGATGAAGTACACTGGAATGCTCCCAACACATCAGCTATCAGTGGGGAGGAGAACAGAGTGATGAAGTCAGTTCATGGATGAGGATTATTAGGAGGCCATGAGCAGATAAAGAGCTGTAGGCCTTAGCTGTGAAACACCCTTGCTCTCATGCCCCTGAAGGCTCAGTGCAGTAAACACAGCAGAAGGGGGCAGTTACCTTGGGGGTCATCAGGCTCCGGGCCTTGTTCAGCACCTCCTGGGCTGTGGTCAGTCTGTCAACCTGGGGCGGCTGGGGAAGCTCACAAGCTGGGATGTTGGGGACCTGGTCTACGTTGAAACGAGGGTGCCAGCGGGTCAGCTTGTCGTCGGGGACACTGAGGGGTGGGGTTAAGGAATCGAGAAACGCCTGAAAAGGAACGAGCACAAATAATCCGGTAAGTCAACATCGGGTAAAGATGACACTAATTGGAATAATGCACAAAAATATAGCCCCCAAGTGTTGTACAATTTCAGAAAAATAAACATTTCATAGACCTTAAGAATATTGCTCAATACCTCCCCAGATTAACCGACGATTCTCGACACTAATGGCTGATATTCCACCCAACCTCCTCTTGCACTGCCCTTTCTTCTGGGAGGTGACGGTGAACTCTGCAGGACCCTGCAGATCAACTGCAGGACACCTGGCTTGCGCCCCGGTCCAGACGGCCCTTACCTTGTGGTGCTCCTTCACGATGGTCACCAGCCGCTGGTGGAAGCCGCGCCGGCGCTCCAGCAGATGAGAGGCCGACAGCTGCGGGCGAGCATCACTCTTCTCCTCTACAGCAACAGTGGTTGTCAGTTAGCGGGGCCACCACAGAACACATGACTTCCTCCCGATTGATTAAAGACTCGGGTGGATTTTTAACAATTGCAGTATGGACCCCAGAGCCCATGATAGCAGCTGGGCATCACTAAATAAAAATTGCTAACAATGTAGTGTGAAGTGCGCTGCATATACCAGCACATCTAAGCGCGAGCAGGCTCACCCATGTCAATAACAGGCTCTATGGTCAGCTGGTAGCTGGACTGCTTCACCCTGTCGCTGAAGGTGGGGATGTTCTTTTCCTGCCGGAAGGTGTATGCTGTGGGGTAGACCGTCTTTATCTGGCCCACATGGCTCTCCTCAAACCGCCTGCAGACCAGAACACAGGCCGGAGGATTTTCAGCAAACCGAGTCGGTGCCGGAGGAGCCTGCGTTTCCTGATCGATTCATACTTTTGCTGTGGTTTAGTTTTCCTTTCTCAACAAGACTGTCATTTTACAATTACCAGGCACTGCCTGCCTTCCAGCTGCCTTTCAATGACCAAACTTTAGAGCAGCCTTAACCAGATTCCCGGTGGGCTTCAAATTTTAGGTAAAACTAGGCATCCTTTCAGACACATTTTACTAAATGTATATTGTGCAGTTAATTCGCTCAGAGATTCAGTGATCAGTAGAAAACCTCAGAAGTACCACAGTCGTGCAGCCAATTAATGAGAACATGAGAAGAAGAAACCAGAAAGCACTGGGTCCTGTGGGAACTGTGTTTCGGGCCCCTGCTTTACAGCCTCCCAGTGGAATCTGAACGTTCAGTTTCTTACTTGTGCATCATGTCCTGGACTCCCTGCTTGACCTTAGCGAAGGTGGCAGTCTCCGAGCGGTTGAAGAGAATGCTCACAATGGTATCCAGACAGCGGAACATCTCCGCCAACATCTTGTACTTGTAGGGCAAGGACAGGCCTGGTGGCACATCCTGGGCAAGGGTGTGGTATCGCTGGTACGCTGGCACCTTCTCGCTGTGAAACAAGCAGACGCCACAGGGGAATGAGGGGCTTGCAACCACTACAAGACCTCCTACAGAGTCATGTTTTTAACAATGATAAATTATAGTAATGGTACTGAAGCAATCATGACCCTTCAAAGCTGTAAAAGCTATTTAAGCACTAGATGTACATGTAATAAACCTTGAGCAATTTCCATGTTCTGAGAAAATGACACTGCCTGGGCATTTCAAAACTGGAATTCTTCATGAAGAAATAAATGCAAACATCCGTAAAAATCAACTATTAAAACAAGTCTTGCCAACTTTTTTTTTTAAACTAGAATGCTAGCTCTACCATGATTCAATCTTTCCTCCCAAGCGTGAACTGGGAAAAGCAGTGAAGTCTGCAGGCAGGGCGATCTCACCTCTCCACGGGATCCAGCTCGTTCTCCACTTCCGCAGACTTCTCCTCCTTCCTGCGCTGGGTCTTCGCTCCCAGCTCCCGGGCTCGGTCCAGCCGGGCTTTCAGCTCTGCGGCCGGGGGGGCAGGGGTGGAGGCAGGGTGGGACCGGCCCACCAGCTGGTCCCGCTCCTTGATCTTCTGCAGACGCGCCCTGAGAGCTCCCATGTCCTCCAGGGAGAGGGGCTTGGGAGGACAGCGACAGTGAGCCAACAGCAACGCCCCACGCAGCCCAGTAACGGGCCGGGAGCCACAAGGTGTGAACTGGGGTTCCCCAGTCGACCAAGGTAAACCGACACCTCTTAATCCGAGATCCGTTTTAGTTTACTCACTAGGAACAGAACTGGAGAACACCTACAGGGAATCCCTTCGTCATTTCTTAAAGTCATCAGACAAGAACAAAATACAGGAGGTGTTCGAGTGCGTCAGTTATGTTAAAGACATTTATAGAGAAGCACTCTAGGCAAGAAATGTAAATATTAAACACTAATTCTTAGAATGGGATTTCGGCACTAATTCTTAGGATGGGATTTGATCTGGGGGAGCCATTAGCATCAGACTCCCAGGGATCGGGAGTTAGTTTTTCAGACAGCAGATTCTAACAGAACAAACGCCGGTGATCATTTAAGGGTGGAGAACCGAGGCCAGTCTTGGATCGTTACCTTGCCGCTGCCCGCGCCATCGCGCTGGCACACGGGGGAGGAGCCAGCACTGCGGTTCACCAGGTTCTTCACCTTCTTGTCCACAGACAGGGGGCTGGCCAGCTGGAGAGTCGGCCCGGACGCTGGACCGGACACCTGCGAGGCACAGGGATAGTTGGGCTCTCTCTCCGCCAGAGACGCACAGCCTCAGATGGCGGAATCAGCTCCACGAGTTTGTGTCCCCCGTGTCTCGGGGCCCATTCTTGCAAGAACTGTTTCAAAGGCACTACACCAGTTCCACAGCAGTGGTTCCCAATCCAGGTCCTGGCGACCTCACACACCTGCTGGCTTCTGTTCCAGCCGAGCCCTCAGTTCCACCATCAAACCCTCCACTGAACTTCTTAATAATAATAAAATGCATCTGTCCCCAGCTCTTAAACCCTGTTGGAGCTTTAACCATCTTATCTCACTCACAAAACACAATCATATACTTGTGACTAGAAACAAAACGCAGATATTCAAGAGAAGCAGCTTCTTAGTCCCCAGTGATCTAGTGAAGGTGGGAATGCAGTGAAAACCAGCGAATTTCACCAGGTCCAGGATTGGGAAGCAATCCACTGACCTGCGCTTATAGGGCCTGGGCTAGCGACATGCCACAAGCTCTCCAGAGGGTCTGAATGTGTTTGGATTGAAAACTGGTTCATGCACAGTACAAGGATGATGTAGATAGAGCAGTACCACAGAAGTCTGGACTAGGACCATTGCTCTCCCAATTCATATCTGCAAGAATGATCTCCATAGCGGTATATTCAGCAAACTAGTCAACCCTGCAGATGTTGGGAGAGTCGGCAAAAACCGCAGGAGCAGCCGATAAAGTACAGAACATGCAAGCAGCAAAAAAAAAAAAAACAACCTATAAATACACGATGGGAAATGCCAAGCTTAAAGAGGCTACTGCTGAAAAATATTCAGGCGTTTGAAGTCACACACTCGTCTTCTAGACAATGTGGAAAAGCAAAAAAAAAGCAAACAATGTTAGGATACGATATCTAATTAAAAACAAAACACGAACTGGTATGGAAGCACAGTTGGAGGACATTTAAAACCTCAAACAGGAGTTGGTGGGGTGCAGGAAAAGCTACAAAGCCGAGCTGTGGAAGCCGGCACCCCGGCTGCTTCCAAGACACGGCCAGGCGAGATCCGGGGAGACATTAGCCACTGCTACCAAACAGACAAGCGACATGGGCAAAGAGGCGTCTTCTCGCTCGTAACTTTTCTGATTTCTGATATCTGGCGGAGAACCTCTTGCTCGGCGCCAACAAGACTACCGATTAAAAACACGGGTCTCGTCAAACGTGTTTTGTTTTGAACCTGTCCTCTACAAGACCCCCCTCCCGGCTCACAGAAGAATCCAGAAAGTTTGCGTTAACAGTTTATACCTTAGATTTCCGATCGTGCTGGTTTCAACCGTGTCGCCTCAACCCCGTACGAGCCTCCAGCATCCGCGAAAGAACAAGCGAACCTTACCTGTTCCTGCGTTTCTCCATCTTTGAGGAGAAGCAGCTTCTTGCGGGCAGACTTCTTCACGGCCCCCGACGCGCCGGCCGCGCTCGCCTCCCCGTCCGCGTCGGCCCGGGCGCGTTTCTTCGCCGAGCTGTGCCCGGTCCTGCGGCAGAACACCTCCGAGCTCAGGTCGAACTCCGCCTGGCTGGAGCTGCGCTTGGGGGTCCGGGGAGGGCCGACGGGGGGGTTGTCTTCCGGACCCGCAGGGAGCCCGTCGGCGGAAACCCCTGCGCTCCCCGCGGCGGTGTCCGACTTGATCTCTCCCTCGGCTACTTCTCCGTCGCCCCCCGAGTCAGGGGCGGCTCTTTTGGAACGAGAGGCCCGCGCCTGAACAATCGCCGACGGTTCCACGAGCTCCAGCCCCGCTGCCGCCGGACAATCGGCGTTCTTCCTTCTAGAACGCGCGGTTCTGGAAGCCCCTCCGGTCCCTGCCGGTCCGCCCAGAACCACAGCTTCTCCCGCCGCCTCGTTTTTCTGCCGTTTGCTCCGCAGAACCCTATCGACACCCCCTTTCTTATTCTGCGCAAAGTAATCGGTTACCCGAGCCTGAGCCATTGTGCTGGATATAGGCAAATCCGAGCTTTGGAAGCGGGGTAAAAGCCTTATTCCTGAAAGCGATGCAAAACAAAAGGGGAGAAAATCTCCAGAATAAAATAATGTATTGCCAACCCGGTAACTTACATTACGTCCTGGACTGTTTCACAGCTCTACACGCAGCGCCGTAAACTACAAGCGAAATGAAGCGTCAGTCTACCCCTACAAGCTCAGATGTGCAAATTAATTTACGTTTCAGTCACCACGGCTAACTGGGGAGTCTCTTCCACGCTTTAAAATCTAAAAGGTGATGCATCCAGACCCTTCCCCCTCACCTTGTTTCTCAGTGACCGGAAGCCGCAAGCGGGCGAAATGTAACAAACTTTCGCGCGAAACGCGCCCACGTGACTGCAGGGGGTTGGGCTGTCAGAGCCGCCCGCCCCCCGGAGACCTGATCCAGCCCGGGAATAGTTTACAGGCAGGATATGCAAACACAAACTTGCGCTTCACGACTAAATGTCAACGTGGCGTGCAATGTATTTTCTCTCGTTAGCGAATTGGATCATCTCGTTGTCAAAATAAAAACATTTCTAGGACGGAGCTTTATTGTTAGTGACGTACGCTTTCCGACGTGACTTTCTCGCCCTCCATTGCGATCAGAAATGGACCAGAAATTACGTTTTCGGGATTTCCTTATTTATTTCTAACCACTAGCCCAAATGAGGACCGGATTCATTTTGTTTGGCCCCTGCAGATGGCTTTTAAGGGGTTTTATAAACAATGGAATTGGTCTACGCCTATGATTTTGAACTAAAATTGATTTATCACCTTCATTAGTTAATTGAAGCCTTACTTGACGTTAGAAGTTGCTTCAACTGAATATTTGCATTTTATTTCTACTTACAAGTCTGGAATTTAATTTCACTTGCAAAACACAATAATTAAAGATCCAACATGTTAAAGTACTGGGAACAAACAGTTCAGAATAATCGTATTATTATTATTATTATTATTATTATTATTATTATTATTATTATTATTATTATTATTAAGTCAGTGGAGGGTTTGCTTCTGTAACTG